CTTGACCGGCGGCGGTCGATTGCGCTGCCCAAACGCTTTTTTTTAAAAGATGGCGCCCAACGGGTGAGAGACACGACACTTAGTGAGCCGGCGACGATCGCCTACGATGGCGCAGGCCAATGGATTGAGCCAAGCGGTCGGGGGGGGCACGTACCTCGCGTGAGATGGAACAGATACTCCTGCAGGTCCTCCTCCGCCGGCTCCCGATCGAGCACCACCGTGGAGTGGTGGTTGGCGTGCTAAAGAGAGAGCACGAGAAAAGAGAACTCTTCTTAATTTAGAACAAAAAAAACTGATGATTGTGATGAGCAGAGTTTGTTGTCGTGTGTGCGGTGTGGTGACGTACGGTGCCGTGTGAGACGCGGTGCGGGGGCAGTTGTTCGGACTCGTTGGGCAGGTGCAGCAACCAGTTACCGATCGTCGCCAGCGAGATGAGCTCCTCGCCCTTGCTGCAGCAAACACGCGCACATACCAGCGTCAGACGCGCGCGTGCGCTGTGGGTTGAGGAGTTGTGTACATGGAGCCTGCAAGTTTGCCCAGGATGGGCGCCGAGTTGCGTTCGTTCTTCTTGCTGCGCGGGGTCAGCAGCTTGGCGGGGTCGCTCGGACCCAGCGTCCACCCGAGGAACACCTTCTTCACCCGGTGGCGGAACTTGACCAAAAACAGCCACCTGCCCAACACCCACGCCATCCGTGAACACACCACATACACACACACACACGCACGACACACACGACACACACACACGACACACACACGACACACACACAAGCCGGTACCGACGGAGTTCGTCGACGGAGAGCTTTTTGTTGCGGGCGTTGGGCATCCAGTCGATGTGGAACACGAGGAGCCCGCCGCCCATCGGATACAGCACCAGCTCCACGCACGGCACCCCGATCCTGAGCGACGTCGTCTTTGCATCCAGCGCCGACACCGTCGACGGTCCGCTGGGCGTGAATCTGTGACACACGACACACGACGCGTCAGAGTTGACACAATGCGTGCGGTACGAAGAGAGAGAGAGATGGGAGGAGGTACGGGGAGTCAGGCATGGTGGACATGAGAGAAGGGATGCGAATGACGGGAGTGACGGGCCGCTGCGACTCGGAGCGCCGCAGCGGCATACGGCTCTTGGCAGGCTTGCGCTTGCTGGGCGTAGCACCGACGGCGTCATTGTCGTCGTCGTCGCTGTCATCCTTCTCCTCCTCGAGCTCCTTGTCGTCCTCCGCACCGCCGTCTCTGCTGGTAACGTTCGTCTGCTGGAGCTCTGGTCGCCCTACGTAGGGCGTCGAACGAGATCTGGGCAGCACTCCCAGCGCACTCCCAGCTGCCGCTGCCGCCGTCGCCGCTGCGCCGCTCGGCCCGGGCGTGGCCAGGCCGCCGGGCTGGCGGGGGTGCAGCCCGTGAGGCTGCGGCGGCTGGGGCTGGGGCTGGGGCTGGGGCTGGAGGAGGTTGGTGGTGGAGGTGAGGAAGGCGAGGTGGCTCGAGTTGTCGAAGGCGACGGCGTTGGACTGGCCCTGCATGTCGGCGGCCCACAGGGCGGGCTCGGGGAAGACCAAGGCCAGCGCGCTGGCCGTGAGCCGCAGCCGGCTGCACTTCCACACCTCCATCTTCCGGCGGTGGGCCGCCTCCTCCTCCGCCTCCTCCTCGTCCCCGCTCGACTCCTCCAGCTCCCCGCCCTCGCCCCCATCCAAATCATCTTCCTCCTCATCTTCCATTCCCACTTCTCCATCTTCCTCCATCCCCTTGCTCTGCTGCTGCTGGCCTTCTCCTCCTGCGCTGGGCTGCCCAGGGGCGGTAGCAGCGGCGGCGGGCGAGGCCTCGGGAAGGTCGAGGCGGCGGCGGGCGTGTAGGGCCTCGACGTGGACGGCGCGGCGCACCTCCTCGTTCCAGCCGACGATCTGGCGGAAGTGGGCCGACAGCTCGGCGGTCTCGAGGGGCAGAGACTGGTTGAGCTCCCACAGGGGCACCCTGCGCCCGGTCTGCTTGTCCCGGATGCAGCGCTTGAGCAGCTTCTCGGTCCAGTTCACGGCCGACACAGTATCGTCCTCCCACGTGAAGGGCAGGATGAGCGCCGTGCGTGCCGCCATGCAGCCGTAGCTGCCACCACCGTCATCTTCTGCGCCCGCCTGGTGCTGCTCCGGGCCAGCACTTAGGAAGGACTGATTGCTCTGTGAATCTGATGCGCGCGATTTTGCAAAGATTTTGCGGCGCTCGAAAGCCGGTCGCCCCTTCATCGCTGTTGCTCAGTGTAGATGACTGTTTTGTCCTGTCCACTCTTCTCCCCTTCTCTTTTGTTGTTGGCCTGTCCACAACTCGAGTTTGTTGCCACCAAACCTCTCGCTTTCCCTCCAAATCGGCCCTTTCTGTCGACAGAAGCCTTCTTGTTCTGCTCCTTGTTGAGAAAGACTAAGTGGTGATCAAGGTCGGGCGCCATCGTCGCGGGGCGGGGTGCCGGGCTGGGTCTCGGGGAAGGAGAGGTCCCAGAAGTGGGGCGGGGTGTCCGGGGCGGCGTAGGCACTGCGATGGCGCGAACAGTTGTTGACAAACAGCTTTCGGTCGAAATCGAGCCCGCCCTCTCGGATGGCGTCGTAGAACTGTTTAACCAAAGGCAAAGCCAAAGCCATCACACGTCAGGCACACTTGTGCGTGCGTAGGTGCGTGCGTGCGTAGGTGCGTACCTTGGCACACTCTTCACACTCGTGGCCTGGGAGCACGGCACGCTCGTCCTTCTTGCGCACCACCTCCACGCGAGCGTACTCGGTAATCCGCTCCTTCCGCTCTCCTCCGGCTCGTAACGCGTCCGGAGCCATGGCGTAGGGCAGCCGCAGGAGCGGCGTTGGTCGTCCCGGCGTCTCCCCTTCGCCCCTGAGTAGCTTGCCTGGCCGCTGCGATTCGTTGCCGGTGGCATCGCCCTCTTCATCCTGCGGAGGGTCGATAGCGCCCTCCTTGAGCAAGACGCGGAAGGCTCGCAGGTCGTCGGCCTCCTTCCGCCGTCGGTCCGTCTTGCGCGTCCGCTCGGCCTCTCGCTCCTCCTCGCTGCTGCCGCCCACGAAGACGGTCGAATACTCGTCGTCGTCGTCGACGTCCGCGTCAAAGTGCGGTCGCACCTCCGGCTTGGCGGTGCTGGCGCTCTTCCTCCGGTCGACTGCCCTCTGGCGCGACCGGAACCGCGAAGCGCTTCCGCTAACAGCGGCGTCGTTGTCCCTCTCCTCCAGCTCCTGCTGAATATCGGCGATGGTGGTCCGCTGCCGCTTCCGTCCCCTGAAGCCAGGCGTAGCGTCGGCCTTATTCCCCGGCTCCCTCCTCGTCTGCGCCTTCTTCCGCTTGCTAGCGCCCTTTCTCGCAGGCAGGGCGTCCACATCGATGATCTCCACCTCCGACGTGTCCGACGATCCCTTCTTCCCCCGCTCCTCGCTGGCCTCGTCGCTGTACAGGTGTTCGCCGGAGCTGCTCTCCACCTCGACCTCCACGGGCGCTGTCACCTTCTGTTCGCTCGTCGGGCTCCTCTTGTCGTCGCCCAGGAACATGGAGTAGACGCTCTCCATGGAGTCCTCTTCCTCTTCGTCGTCGCCGGCCTTGCCACTGACGCCGGTCGGGGCCTTGAGCAGAGAGGGCTTCGGCGTGGTGGGCACCATTCGTTTGAGGAAGTTCGTGGGCGACAGTAGATGGTCCTCCTCCTTGGTCGCCTTCGATGGCGTCGGTGCCTCCTCGCTGAACTTCCGTGCGCTCCCTCTCCTAGGTCGCTCCGCCTCTCCTTCATCGTCGTGCTCAGTTGTTTCTTCATCGGTGACCGTATTCGTCTTCAGCCTGCGCGGCGACCCTGTTATTGGGCGTGCAATGTGAGCGGAGCGGAGTGGGGAGGAAGGTCACATTGCAAAGTGAGATCAAGTGTGTACCGACGTCGTGAAGCAATGAGGACTGAGAATCGGCTCGCCATTCCATCTTTTCGTCCATGTCCTTGAGCAATCTCTGGATGGAGCCGACGCGTAGGGAAGGACTCGGCTCCGTTGCCGTGGTCTTTGTCTTGCCTTGCACCTAAGAGTGCGCCAATTGGTTAGACCACACAAGGGTACCAATCAACCGCCAAACCACGGTCAAAAGAAGAGAGAGTGAGGAGCACCTCGGCAGGGTCCTCGGATTTGTAGGGGGTCGTGGCGATCGTTTGCCTCGAGGGCGCCAGAGGCGTGGCTAACACGGCACCCTCTGGAGTATGAAGCAATTGAGGGTGTCGCCTCCGTGACGCAGGGACACTGCGCTGCGTGGCCTGCGGCACGTCCTCTTTCTCAAATACTGGTGACCTGCGGTCGTCCACGCCACGAGAATCGTCGTGAGGAGACAGACATGGTGCGTGGTGGAGGACAGAAGAGGTACTTGCGAAGCCAACCGCGCTCTGTTTTGGAGTCTCGAGAGATGTCGGGTGGAGCTGGGAGCGGCGAGCGTCCCTCGGTCGTGGCAGTGTGGTGCAGCACAGCCTCGCTCCACTCTCGAAACTCCTCCAAGGTTCTCTGCTGCCGGTCGCACTTCCCTGCAAGCTCTCGCTTCTCCGCCTCGAGCCTGGCGGTGGGGTGAGGCCATGTGCACAAGTGCTAGGAACCTTGCCAGGGAGGGAAGCACCTTTCTACCGCTTCAGCAAGCTCATCGCCTCGCCTTCGTTCTTCTGCAAGCTCATGGTACAGGTCTACATAAGGAGGCGGAAAAGCCAAAGAAGACGTTAGGCCGAAGTCAGCGCGTTTCTTCCCCCCCCCACTCCATTTACCTTCTTTTATTTTGGCATAAGTCTCGCGTAGATTCTTTAGCGCCAGCTCGAATGCATCCGTGTTGCGCGATGTACGAAAATGCTGGCCTGCTGAACTGAGGTGCTCCATCTTGAATGGATGTCATCTAACGGTAACAAAGTACAAGGATCGATTCTTCTTCCTGGTAGTGGTGAAAAGTCTCCAAGAAAAATTATTTCGCTTCCGTGACTACTCGCGGAAAGAAGAGAAGGCTGATTTGTGGTGCTTCAGCCACGGCGGCCACTGGCACCGGCAGGTTCTTGTGCAGTGCGATCTTCCTCCGTCTCGGATTGAAGAAGCAATCGATTTGAACTTTTTCAAAATGGCCTATCCGGCACTGGTTTACCAATCCCACCCCCATCTATCTAAAACCGGCAGGACGAGCAAGCGGCTTCTCTCTCCATCGCCCTTGCAGGCGCCCACTATGGCGGCAGAGCCCACAACCATCAACGGCAGCCTTTTGGGCTACCTGCGCACAGCCGTCAAGCTTGTATCTTCCCAGTACGCCTACACCGTACGACCTCGCCCTTACTGCTGCTTGGTGCGTGTTGTTGTTGATCCTCACCAATGGAAGCCTTGTTAGTCCACAGCGTTCGACGATTTAGACGAGACCGTGTCTGTGCTTTGTGATGCCATAACGCGCGTTCTCATGCACGGCCTCTCTGCACGTACGTGGCCCTGCCCTCTTCAGTTCCGTCCTCCTCTGACATTCAAATCATGCAGGGTCGGGGGTGGTGAGCCTGTTGGGGCTGCAAACACCACCGTCTTTTTGGCCCTACGTGGAGCAACTGGAGACGGTGGGAGGTGACCGAGGGGCATGCATACCTTGGATTCGAGCTGCTGTGACCTCCAACGACGCTCGCGCCAAGACGTGGGTCAAGCTCGCTCTCAATCGACATCACCTTGGCGCTTGCATTGCTGACCTCGCCCGCGACCAAGCACTCACTGCGTGCGTAGACCCGCCGCCTTTTGCTCGCACGCACACCTTACACGTGCACCACGCAGCAAGTTCTATGAGGACGGCTGTATACTACGAACGCGCGAGGACTGTCAGATAATGCTGACACTGATGGTACAGCTGCCTCTTCGTCCACATCTGGACGTGCCCAGAGTTTTTCTTACCGTGTTCGGTGGCCTGCGCAGGAAGGGTTGAGTACGGTGGCGTTCGCACTCCGGATCGACGAGAAGCTGCAGCGGATCGTGCAGGAGGCATGGCCTTCGGCCAAACCCTCCGCGTTCAAGCCTCCCGAGAGCCCCGGCGGTAGTCGAGGCATCATCCCCACGCCCCACTTGGAAGATATCTTCGTGGTGCCGGAAACCAAGACGAGGAAGAAGCATCCAAAGAAGCGCATCATCATTTTACGAGACGAAGTGGACAGTGCCTAACCTCCAACGCATGCTCCGCTCGACCTCTCTTGCGCATGGGGGGCATTGTAGTCGATGCTCCTCCCTCCCTGTACATAAACAAGAACAAGAACGCAGATTCCAACAGACGGCAAAGGTGGGCGGGCACACGTGCTATGCGGCGTCAGCAGTCGCAACGGATCACCGTATCGCCCCGCACCACCACAAACGCGTCGTTGCCCTCCTCAAACGCGGCAACGATCTTCTTTTTCTCCTCTGGCGGACAGCCCGTCCAGCTAAGATCTGGCACAACAGAACGCGGACGCGGTGTGAGCCGAGGCCCCTGGGTTGAGAATTGCAATCGTGGTGCGTGTCATACCCTGCACCTCGCCTGAGTCAGGATCCATCAGTGAGATGTTGTTTTTCTCTACGTCCACGACTTGATACCGCATCTCCTTGATAAGCACCAAGCATGTGAGTGGCCAGCGCAGACCGCACGCGAATGAGATGCGGTGGTTACCTTTTCGCGCTGCGGTTGCGCGCTGGCGGAGGCCTCCTTGGCGTTGAGCTCGTCGTACCACTTGAGAAACTTTTGCTTTTGCTTGGTGGTGAAGACGGTGAAGGGCAGCTTCAGTGCGTCCTCGAGGAGGGGAAGCGCAGGACTTGATGTCCCCAACCCTGCAGCACGCCACCACCATAAGCCTCTGTACACTGCAGGTGCAACGAAAAAACCTGAAGGAATGCAGAAGCACCTTGCCAAGTCGAGGGGCTGCTAAACATGCTTCGATAGGCCTGCACAACAAGTGCCACCAAGTGTGAGGTCGCAGTGAAGACAATGGGTGCAGGTGGAAGGGACGCTGACCTCGATCGCGGAGTACAGATTGTTCTTGTCAGCCTCCGTGAATCGAAAGTTTTGATTTGTGTGCAGAAAGCGTCGCAGCCGCTCAATTTCTTTAATGGCTTTGCCTTTATTCGCTGTTTGCATGGTGCTCTTGCGTGCATCTTCATTGAATTGTCGCACTCTCTCCTCCATTTTTGCCTTATGATTGTTTCAGCACACTTGCGGTTGGCCGTTTGTGTCTTTGCCCCACCCTCAAAGTGTGCCATCTCTTGTTGTGTTGCACAGATTTTCAACACGGGGGCGTAGTTCAATTGGTAGAGCGTCTGACTCCAGATCAGAAGGTTGCGTGTTCAAGTCACGTCGTCCTCATATGTTCTCTTTTTTTTTTCTCCTACAATGAGGTGCCACAGGATGCAATATTTTTTATCTCCTTGCCCCAAAGACCATGTGAAGATGAATGCTGCAACAATTTGATATCAACTGAATGACAAAGAGCAGCACCAGGCCACCCTCACTGTCAGCAGCCAACTCCTCAGGAGGCCAAGAAGTAAGAGATGAAGGGCACTCTCCACACTGAGATGTAACCAATGGCCCACCTGAATTGCTTGTGTAAAGAATAAAAATTGACTTTTTGTCTGGTTAAATCCCAGCAGCCATTTACAGTTTCCATGTGCTGGCCATTGCTGTGGTCAGGATAGGAACAAAAAAAGGTGTGTAGTCATCACATACATGTACACAATAAAGTAAGTGTCTGGTTGTATATATTTTTGGTTGTCATGTACATGTGAATGATAGAAATTGGTCATTCCAGACCTTGACTGATGGCCCAGTTACTGCATTTTCTCTCTCATTAATCTGCCATTTCTCAAGATGCTCCCAATTTTGTCTTGTTATTTTTAAATAAAAACGATTTTTGGGTTGTCAGGAGAGGGAGAGGGGGATCATGCATTGTGCCTTGGCTAGTTCACAGTACTAGGCGCCCATTGGTTTGCCACTGCCAGCACCACAGTTGGCCACTGGCAACTGGCATGAGTTTGTCTGTGCTCTTGATGAGAAGGGTTTGAGCTGCTGCCCTGACATAGTCCTGGTGTGTGTGGAGGGGGTACTGGATTCTGTGGAGTGTATGTCCCCCTTTGTGGTGAGCACTGGAGATGGTGCATGTGCAGACAGCAAATGTGGCTGCCTTGATGTTGCTGGGGAGGCCATTGGCCAGGAAGAAGAGGATTGATTGGAATGGTCTGTGTGGAGGGAGGCTGCATACAAGGGCGCTGGAATTGTGGCATATCTGGAGTGCATAGGAAGAGGTGGGTGAGGGAGAGGGTGATGTGTTGATCCAGCCTTCAATGAATTTGCAGGTCATGTTGATGAGCACTTGCATGTCCCCATGCTGCTCATGTAGCTGGGTGTTCTCCTTCTGCAGGTGGAGAACCGCTTGCAGAGCTTCTCACTTTCAGTCTGTTCCTTCACCAATTCAAATTTCATGTCCTCAAATTGCTCCTTCCATCTTGCATACAAGGACTTGATGGGTCATTTTTTTTGTGGTGCCAAAGTGATCTCACATGGAAGTGGTCTGCTGAATGTCATTTACCCCAGGGGACAGGTTATTTCAGTACTGAAAGAAAAAGAGTGCTGGTACTGGCACACTACTCCCACAACCCATTGGCTGCAGATGGTCTGGCTTTACTTCTTGCCCAGCTGTTTTTTAGTCACTCATTGGCCACAAAAATATTGCATCCTGTGGCACCTCGTTGTAGGAGAAAAAAAAGAGAACATATGAGGACGACGTGACTTGAACACGCAACCTTCTGATCTGGAGTCAGACGCTCTACCAATTGAACTACGCCCCCGTGTTGAAAATCTGTGCAACACAACAAGAGATGGCACACTTGAGCCTCCCTATCTACTTGGCAGGGAGGGACGGAGAAAGAAAGGGGAAGAGGTAGCGACACAACTCCGCAAACCACAGGGCTTGTGCTCCGGGAAGGGCATAAGAAGCCGGAGCCCGGCCTGGACGTTTAACGGCCCGTGTACCACAGCGCTACCGACCCTACCCGTACCCCACCTCTGCCACAATGCCGCCGTCCGTTTCTGCTCCGCCTCCGACTTAATCCACTACATACCACCGTACCATCATGCAGTACTTCGACCACCACACACACCGCCGCGACTTTGCCCGCGACTGCGCACCCACGCCTCCGTAGAGAATACTCCGAGAGGAATTCGTCCGGCCGAGCTTTAAGAAGGCGGTCTGCCGTCGTGCCAACCAATTAGGGGGTACCTTCACGCGCTTCTCTTGCGTCGTGGCTTTTTGTGCCGGACAGCGCCTGATCTGCTGGTTTCTTTTGTTCATCCCCCCGCACACGCAGCATCAAGAGAGCGAAGTCGCACAGATCGGGGAGGAAAGAAGAAGAAAAGCAACACGCCTACCAGCAGTTGCCAGAGAACCTACGACTCTATCTCTTTCTCATCTCTCTAATTTTTCGACTCAATCACACCGCTGCCTCAACATGTCGGCTCTTCCCATTCAGTTCAAGGAGATTGCCCAGGTATGCCCCTCTGCTTCAGTGCTGGAATGGTTTTCTTCCAAGTTAAAATGAGTGTATCGCCACTGTTGATCCACAATTCTGAAGCTTCTTGTTGGTTTTATAGTTGGGCACCTTTGGGATCAATCCCCAGTCCATCGGGTTCGCTACGCTGACCATGGAGTCGGAGAAGTACATCTGCGTCCGCGATCAAGTGGGCGAAGAGCGTAACGTGGTCATCATTGACCTTCAGAACCCCTCCAATGTCGTGCGGCGACCCATCGCTGCCGATTCGGCCCTCATGAACCCCGTGCACAACATCCTCGCATTGAAAGGTACACAGTCAAGTTGATCATCTTGTCTCATTTGAGACAACGCGCTAAAGGGGGGTCCTCCAAAACAGACACGCAAAATCTCCAGATTTTCAACATCGGCGAGCGTGCTAAGGTGAACGACTGTGTCATGAGCGAGCCCGTTGAATTCTGGAAGTGGATTTCCGACTCCAAGCTCGCCCTGGTCACTGCCACTTCCGTCTATCACTGGTCGATGAATGGTTCGTGTGTGCCAAGACTTCGCACTCTTTGCTCCCAAACTCACCCAACTCCGCACAGACAATGCCAAGCCGCAGAAGATCTTCGCGCGCCACCAGTCGCTTGCAGGAACACAGATCATCAACTACCGCGTCGATGCCGCCGAGAAGTGGTGCGCTGTGATCGGTATCACGAGGAAGGACGACCGCATCGCCGGCGCCATGCAGCTCTACTCCGTCGACCGCAAGGTGAGCCAGGCGCTCGAGGGCCACGCGGCTGCGTTCTGCGACTACCGCACGGAGGGCTCGACGCGCAACTCAACCCTCTTCTGCTTCGCTTCTCGCACCGCGGCGTCGTCGAAGCTGTACATCCTCGAGGTGGGCCAGACGGGCGAGGGCGGCGGTTTCGAGAAGAAGCAGACGGACATTTACTTCCCCGCCGAGGCCGCACAGGACTTCCCCGTGGCGATGCAGGTGAGCGACAAGTACTCTGTGGTGTACATGATCACCAAGTTCGGCTACATCCACATCTTCGACGTCAACACCGGCAAGCTCCTCTACATGAACCGCATCTCGGCCGAGACCATCTTCGTTACCGCCCCGCAGGCCTCCACCGGCGGCATCATCGGCGTCAACCGGAAGGGCCAGGTGCTCTCCGTCACCGTCGACGAGAACACCATCGTTCCCTACATCTGCACCCAGCTCAACGACTACGATCTCGCCATCAAGTTCGCCTCCAAGAACAACTTGCGCGGCGCCGAGGAGCTCGTCACTGCTCAGTTCAACCAACTGTTCCAGCAGGGCCGCTACAAGGAGGCTGCCAAGGTCTGCGCCGAGTCTCCCCAGGGCATGCTCCGGTCCACCCAGACCATCCAGATGTTCTCCCGATTGCCCGGTGCTCCCGGCCAGCCCTCGCCGCTGCTTCAGTACTTCTCCGTGCTGCTCGAGAAGGGCAAGCTCAACAAGGTCGAGTCGCTCGAGCTCTCGCGCCCCGTGCTCCAGCAGGGTCGCAAGGAGCTCCTCCAGAACTGGCTCAAGGAGGAGAAGCTCGACTGCAGCGAGGAGCTCGGTGACCTGGTCCGCCCGTACGACCTCAACCTGGCCCTGTCGATCTACTACCTGGCCGACTCCAAGGACAAGGTGGTCCAGTGCCTCGCCGACAGCGGGCAGTACGAGCGCATCCTCCTCTACTCCGAGAAGACCGGCTACTCGCCGGACTTCATGTACATCCTGAACGGCCTCGTCCAGACCAACCCTCAGGGTGCCGCCAACTTCGCCGCCAAGCTGCTCTCCGGTCCCCAGGCCTCCAAGATCGACGTCAACCAGGTACGCTCCGCGAGCTATCTTTCTCTTTCACCCGAGAGGTGTACACCCGAACTAAACGTGTCGCGTTTCTCCTCAGGTCGTTGATCTGTTCCTGCACCGGAACATGGTTCAGGAGACTACGTCGCTGCTGCTGGATGTCCTCAAGGGCAACAAGCCCGAGGAGGGACCGCTTCAGACCCGTCTCCTGGAGGTCAACCTGATGCAGGCGCCTCAGGTGGCTGACGCCATCATGGGTTACGAGATGCTCACCCACTACAACAAGCCCTACATCGCCCAGCTCTGCGAGAAGGCTGGCCTGTACCAGCGGGTACGTCGTCTCCCCCTCGCCGCACCCGCACGCGCGCGATCTCGTGATGGCAAAATAATCTTTGAGACCATATTCCCGGCCTTTGGCCGGGTTGCTGACATCAAGCAACCCTGAAGCAAGCTCGTCATTGACAATTACGCTTCACTCTCGCTCTACCACAACTTTCTAACCGACCTCTTCTTGCAGGCGCTGGAGCACTACACCAACATCGCCGACATCAAGAGGGTCATGCTCAACACCCATGCCATCAACCCGGAGTTCCTGGTGAACTACTTCGGCCAGCTCTCGGTTGAGGACAGCGTTGATTGCCTGAAGGAGCTGATGCGGGTCAACCCCCGACAGAACCTGCAGACCGTCGTCGCCGTTGCCACCAAGTACTCCGACCAGCTCACCGCCTCGGCCTTGATCGACCTCTTCGAGTCGTGCAACAGCTTCGATGGCCTCTACCACTACCTCGGCGCAGTCGTGTCCTACTCTCAGGACCCCGAGGTGCACTTCAAGTACATCGAGGCCGCCGTCAAGATGAACGCCCTTCGCGACGTCGAGCGCATCTGCCGAGAGAGCAACTACTACGATCCCAAGAAAGTCCGCGATTTCCTCAAGGTGCGCCTGCCTCTTAGTGCGTCTTTCGCGTGTCGTGAGTGTGGGGGCACAGGATGATTTCGGTATTCTTAGGACACCTTCTTATGCAATCGACCTAATCAGTTGGTTGTAGATGCGAAGAAAGGACCTTACTGAATGCTCTCTTTTCTATGTTTGTACTCATTTGGTGTTGTCTTGCTCGTGCGACCTCGCTAACGCCTTGCTTCTTCGCGTTACAGGAGGCCCGCCTTCCCGACCAGCTGCCCCTCATCATCGTGTGCGACCGCTTCGACTTCGTTGAGGAGCTCACCCGCTACCTCTACGCCAACAGCATGCTTCAGTACATCGAGGTACCTAGCGCCCTCTCGTGCTGTGGTTTCACCCGCGCAGCTTCGAAACTGATGATAAACGAGCTCCCTCTACTGATGCGCCATGAGGATAAGCTCATCCGGAATCAAATTATTATCTGATCATTCCCTTCTTATTCTTTGCTGTCGCCCTCCGACCGTTCTCCATCTCACCGTGTATCTTTGTGTCACAGGCCTACGTGCAGAAGATCAACCCGATCAACACCCCTGCCGTTGTCGGTGCTCTCCTCGATGTCGACTGCGGCGAGGAGTACATCCAGAAGCTCATCATGTCCGTGAGGAACTTGTGCCCTGTCGATGGTACCTTCCCGCCTGCCGCCAACAATCTCGTTTTCCATGCTAACCACTCAATTCTCGAATCTGCAGACCTCGTTGCGGCTATCGAGAAGCGCAACCGCCTGAAGCTCCTGCTCCCCTGGCTCGAGGCCCGCGTTGCTGAGGGCAACCAGGAGCCGGCCACACACAACGCCCTGGCCAAGATCTACATCGACCTCAACAGGGAGCCCGAGAAGTTCCTCAACACCAACACCTTCTACGACAGCCGTGTTGTCGGCAAGTACTGCGAGAACCGCGACCCCCACCTGGCCTTCCTCATCTACAAGCGAGGTACTTTATCCGCCTCCTTCTTGACCTTCTGGCCCGCGCTCCCCGCTGCATTCGCTGATGATAAACGAGCTCCCTCTACTGATGCGCCATGAGGATAAGCTCATCCGGAATCAAATTATTATCTGATCAACGCAGTGTTTCTCCCCTTTCTTCTCGAGAAGACGCCATCTTCAACGACTCACCCGTTCACTTTCCTACTCACTCAGGGCTTTGCGATGATGAGCTGGTGGCGGTCACCAACAAGAACTCGCTGTTCAAGAGCCAGGCCCGCTATCTCGTGGAGAGGCAGAGCCAGGACCTGTGGCTCAAGGTGTTGGACGACAACAACGAGTTCCGCCAGGCCGTGCTCGACCAGGTCGTGCAGACTGCCCTCCCCGAGAGCAAGAACCCCGACGAGGTTTCGTCCGCGGTGAAGGCTCTCATGAACGCCGACATGCCCAACGAGCTCATCGGGCTGCTCGAGAAGATCGTACTGGAGCCCTCGGACTTCAGCAACAACAAGAACCTCCAGAACCTCCTGATTCTCACCGCCATCAAGGCCGACAGCTCGCGGGTGATGGAGTACGTGAACCGCCTGGAGAACTTCGACGGACCCGACATCGCCACCATCGCCGAGGGTGCTCAGCTCTTCGACGAGGCCGTCGCCATCTACAAGAAGTTCAAGCTCCACCCGCAGGCCATCACCGTCCTCTTGAACTCCCTCAACGACCTCGAGGCTGCCGTGTCCTTCGCCAGCCAGGTCAACGAGCCGGAGGTCTACTCTCTCCTCGCCAAGGCGCAGCTCCAGAACAACCTCGTGACCGAAGCCATCGGTACCTCTCCCCTCCCGCGTTTTCGTTCCTCCCCCCGTACACAACAACCGAACGCTGCGTCAAAGGATGTAATTTATAGTTATCCCTGTCCGAATATGACACAATTACGATGTGGACCTACTCTAGCAACTGAAAAACGACTGCAGCTCTTCATTTCTTTCTATCTTTGCGACGACGCGCTGAACACACCGACTGACGCCAACCTTGCCTCCCACAACAACAACAACAGAGTCTTACATCAAGGCCAACGACCCCGAGAACTACGTCGATGTCATCGTCGCCTCTGAGAGGGAGCAGCTCTGGGATCCGCTCGTCAAGTTCCTCCAGATGTGCAGGAAGAAGGTGAAGGAGGCTCATATTGAGTCTGAGCTGATCTACGCCCTCGCCAAGGTCAACAGACTTGCCGAGCTCGAGGAGTTCATTTCCGGCCCCAACTGTGCCCAGGTACAGCCACGATCTCGCCACTGCGCCCGTCCTCTTCGATTGTAGCTGACCCCGACGACGCCTTTGTAGATCCAATTGATTGGTGACAGGTGCTTCGAGGAAGGGATGTACGAGGCGGCCAAGCTGCTGTTCAGCAACATTCACAACCACGCTCGCCTGGCCACTACCCTGGTCAAGCTGCAGCAGTACTCGTCCGCGGTGGAGGCTGCCCGTAAGGCCGGCAGCACCAAGACCTGGAAGGAGGTCAACCTCCACCTCATCGAGGTCAAGGAGTTCCGTCTGGCTCAGATCTGCGCCCTCCACATCGTCATCCACGGTGATGAGCTGGACGAGCTCGTCTGGCGATACGAAAGCAGGGGCTACTTCGAGGAGATAATCTCCGTCCTCAGTACGAATCCCGCCCTCGTCGCACCGCGTCATATTCACTTTCGCACACATGCGTGCAATCGGTGACTAATCGTGCCAATTCCAGCCTCGAGCCTCGGCCTTGATCGCGCTCACAAGGCGATGTTCACCGAGTTGGCGATTCTGTACTCCAAGTACAAGCCCGAGAAGCTGCAGGAGCACCTCGAGCTGTTCCCCGACCGCATCAGCTTGCCCAAGGTCATCCGTTGGTGCCAGACCAACGCTCAGTGGAAGGAGCTCACCTACCTGTACAAAGCCAGCAACGAGCACGAGAATGCTGCGATGACCATGATCAACCACCCCGTCGAGGCCTGGGACCACAACGAGTTCAAGAGCATCATCGCCAAGGTCAACAACCTCGACACCACCTACAAGGTATGTGCCATCCTTCCCTTCCCACTCGTGCGCCTTACACAACAACCGAACGCTGTGTCAAAGGATGTAATTTATAGTTATCCCTGTCCGAATATGACACAATTACGATGTGGACCTACTCTAGCAACTGAAAAACGACTGCAGCTCTTCATTTCTTTCTATCTATCATCGCGCTCCCCCAATCAGTTTCACTCACAATCTCTCTCTATCTCGTCAACGTGTCAGGCTGTTCGCTTCTACCTCTCCGAGCACCCGCTGCTGGCCAACGATCTGCTCCATGTCGTCAGCGCCAAGGTGGACCACACCAAGGTGGTGTCCGTCGCTCGCGAGATGAACCTCCTTGCCCTCATCAAGCCCTACCTCACCTCCGTGCAAGCCGAGAATGTGGCGGCCGTCAACGAAGCCCTCAACGAACTGTACATTGAAGAGGAGGACTACGACTCTCTCAAGCATTCGATTGAGACCCACGACAAGCTGAACCACCTCGCCCTCGCCCGCACGCTGGAGAAGCACGAGCTGCTCGAGTTCCGCCGGATCGCCGCTCAGCTCTACAAGCAGAACTCCGAGTGGCAGAAGTCGGTGGAGCTCAGCAAGTCCGACGACCTGTTCAAGGACGCCATGCAGACCGCCGCTGATTCCGGCAACGCCGACGTCGTTGAGGAGCTGCTCAGGTTCTTCGTCGAGAAGGGCGATGCCGAGTGCTTCGCCGCCTGCCTCTACACGTGCTACGACTTTGTCAAGCCCGACGTCGTGCTCGAGCTCGCCTGGAAGCACAGCCTCACCGACTACGCCATGCCCTACCTCATCCAGGCCATCCGCGAGTACACCACCAAGGTCGACCAGCTCGTCGAGGCCGCCAAGCCCAAGAAGGACGACAAGAAGCCCGAGGACCAGGCCGCCGTCAACTTCCCCGGCGTCGTGGGCGCCGAGTTTTACCCGCCCGCCGGCATGGTGCCCATGATGACCGGCGCCGGCCAGGTGACCATGATCCCCACCGCCTTCACGGGCATGCCCGGCACCGTGCCCACCATGCACCCCTCCATGACCGGCATCCCGCCCGGCTCCGGCAGTTTTCCCTTTGCCCGCCCCGCCATGCCCGGCCCGCACCACCCGCACCCTCTCTCCTCCGTCCACCACCCGCCCGCTCCCTTCTCCCAGTAGAGAGTAGTGTGACGTCTGTTCCAAGCTTAAATGATACTCGTTTCCTGTCACCTCGCCTCTTTGCCAACACAACGCACACAACGCACCGCAGCAAGCAGAACAAAAGATGGAAGATGAATTAGGGTTGCCGCCTCCGCCCGAGGAGCCGGCGCCTGAGGACTGCTGCAACAATGACTGCTGTCCGTGCGTGCGCGACATCTACGAGCAGGCGCTGCAGCGGCACCGGACCACGGTTCGCCTGCTCAAGATGCGGCAACAGATGAAGATGAAGATCGGCCCGCATTGCGGCATCTCCATTCAAAACGTTGATGCTCCAGCACCAACAGAGCCATTGGTGAGTCCTCCGAGCGCCGGACCGTCTGCCACAACCGCCTCCATCTTGGGCGCCTCCTTGCTCACCGAGCACGGCCGAGCGCGAGGTCTCGACGTTCGGCGGGTGCTGCTACTCGAACTGGGACTAAGCTCCCACTACGCCTACGAGCCTGGCGACTACGTGGCCGTACGACCCCACAACGACCCTAACCTCGTTCGTGCCCTCCTTCAACGGTACACCCTCGCCTCTCTTCTTCTGCTTGGCCCTGCGCCTTGCGTGCGTGACCTGAGCATGTGCAGGCTGCGTGTGGAGGGCGAGCAGGTGATTGCTGTGGTGGCCACCACTGCTCCACGAGAGCTTGAGGACGTAGAGGTGGATGACGGGTCGGCGGCAGAGCAGGCGGAGGACGGCGAATCGATGACGCACCAGCACTACCTGATCGGCGACCCACCGTGCACGATCGCGCACACCCTCATGTACCTCCTCCACATTCCCTTCGTGATGTACACTCCAGCGGCTCACACGGTCTGTCGCCGTTGCAGGTACAAGTGCGACATCAGCGCCCCGCCATCGAAGGCCCTGCTGCACGCGCTGGCGCAGTTCACCTTCGACGAAGAGGAAAAGGAAGAGCTCCTTTACCTCTGCGGCGGCGCCCAGTGGCAGCGCGAGTTCTACCAACGCAACATCCTACACCAGGTTCCTTCTCTCTCGCTTCACACACACACACACACACACATGCACCGTTCTCGCATTCTCGCTGAAGCCGTCGCGCAGAGACCGGGGCTGCTGGAGGTCCTGGAGCGGTACCCGTCATGCAGGCCTCCGCTTGCGCACGTCCTGGAGCACGTTCCACCGCAGCGGGAGCGGTACTACTCCATCGCCTCGTCGCCGCTGCTGTCTCCGTCGTCGGTCCACCTGGTCTTCCCCGTGGTCGAGTACACCACGCCCGCGCCCCATCGGCGCCAGCGACACGGCCTGTGCACGTCGTGGCTGCACTCTCTCGCCCACCGCCACCTCGTCGACGCTCGGCACTTCGCTGGAGTCGCAGTCAATCAGCTGTGCGTGCCCGATGAGCTGCAGCGGGAGGACAGCGAGGACCGCGACGTGAGCGGCGACGCAGGAGGGGTCTCATCGCTGGATGTGTGGATCAAGCCGGCGCCTGACTTCCAGCTCCCGACCGACCCGATGGTGCCCCTCATCCTGGTCTGCGCTGGCTCGGGCATCGCGCCCTTCCGGTACCACCCCCGACCCCATCAACCAGCTCGGTCGGCGGTGGTGCTCACTTCGGCGAGCCGCGCGGCCTCAGGGGCTTTTTGCGGCACCGGAAGGCGATGAGAGAGCGGGAGGGGGTGGCGCTCGGTGAGTGCTGGCTCTTCTTCGGCTTCCGCTTCCTCGACGGCGACTTCCTCTTCCGCGAGGAGCTCGAGGCGATGCAGCGCGAAGCCGTGCTCACTCGCCTCATCACCGCCACGTCCCGAGAAGGTACCACGCTATCACTGCTTCCTGTCTCCCAGGGCACCGAGTGACTCACCTCGCGTCGTGGCCGTTGCAGCTGAATCATGCAGAGTTCAGGACAGAATCGTGGAGCACGGCCGTGACGTCCACCGCCTGATTGTCGATCGCAACGCCGTGGTCTGCGGGTACCACTTGACTGCTTGCGATCACCGGCTGGCCTCAATCGCACACCACTCACCTCACGTCCCGCGCACCGGCCAGAGATGCGCAGGGAATGGCCGCGGGCGTGCACGAAGCGCTGGCCCAAGTCATCGCCGCGTATGGGGCACCGCCACCGGGCCACGAGGAGCCCCACGCCGTGCTTGCACACCTGCAGCGGGAGCGGAGGTACCGACGCGACGTGTGGAGCGCACGCAAGACCGCTGTGTGAGGAGTAACTCCTGTTTTGCATTTTGGTGAAACTCTTCGTGGAAGCCAATGAGGCAGAAGCAACTGCTGTGACCACAACGTGAAGGTAGGCTTGTTGGGGGGGGGGAGTTCTATTCAACATGTCAAGCAATGAACTGCACGCGCTGGCCAAGAGCCAGCGTGGTCCCTTCCCGTCGGTACGCACACACGCTGGCACTGCCTCTCTGGGCGGAGACAACTAACTGAGCCGTGGTGCGAATGAACAGGCGGGACCGATCGCGGTGGTGAGTCAATGGTTGGGGTTTCTCTCCGAGTCGGTGAAGCAGTGGCAGGCCCTCGTCGCCGGTGGCGCCGACCCCAATGCGTACCTTCTCTGCCTCCTCTTCGTGTCCCGCGCTGTGAGTGCAGCACTCACCCCCTGGCAGGGTGGACAAGAACGGTCGAACTCCGCTGCACGAGGCCAGCGCGCGTGGCAACTGGCAAGCGGTGGACTACCTCCTACGCGGTACTGTCGGCTTGCCGAGTCCCGATTGATTGGAGTTGTGTGCTGCGCTGTGCTCGCTTCGCTAAGCTGGGGCCTTTTCCCATCAGCGGGGCTGGTGACAAAGATCAACGCGAGGGATCGCTGGGGCCGCACGGCGCTGGACCTCGCCATCGTGGGCGGCCACAAGGAGGTCGAGGTCCTACTCTCGGCCCACGAAGCGATTGCCGTTGCCCGCGAAGAAGAAGAACCATGCGACCTCCTCCCGGCCTGCGAGAAGCCGCCGCGGGGCTGCCCGCTCCTGCAAATGCCCACCGAAATGCTGGTGCTCATTCTATCATGGCTCGAGCCCCGTGACCTGTGCGCCGTGGCCCAAACCTGTTCGGTAATCCCCCCCCCTCTTCACTTTCCAGCTGTCGTATGCACCCGCTTATGATGGCGTGTGTGTGTCTGTGGTGTTTCTGTCGTGTGTGTGTGTGTGTCTGTGAGGACAGGCTCTGGAGGAAGCCAGCCGAGACAATGCGTTGTGGCGGCGGTTCTGTGACGAAGAGCATGCGCTGCCCGGCGGGCAGAGCTGGAAGGACTGCTACCGGGAGTGGTGTGTTCCCCACCTCCGCGCTTATGCCGGTACGCTGCCCGAACCGCGTCCCGACCAAAGCCAGGCCCTAACCCCCCTCTTCTCTTTCCAGCCAACAGGCTAAGCCGGACGACGCCCGATGGCGGGCAGGTCATCAAGTGGCTGCTTCTGGGAGAACTTTGTACCTTACACACCCCCGCCGTTGCTTATTCTTCGCTCACCACCGCCTGTCAACCCGCAATGCACGCAGCGGCCGGGAAGAGATGCCTCATCGAGCGGTATGTGTATGACAAATTCCGGTCCAGACGGTCTCACATCGGCGTAGACGTCTACATGAAGGAGACCCACATGGGCGACCGGCGGCTGATGCTCCATCTTTTCCACCTCTCAACGACATTCATGTCGCACGAGCCGAGGGTGTCATTCCCAAGGATCTTCTATCGGGAGGCGGTCGGCCTGGTCTACGTCTACGACGTGACGCGACGGGACTCGCTCAATGTACTCCCGCAACGGCACCAGGAGATCGTCCAACACTTCCCCGATGGCGTGCCACCCATCATACTCGGTGCGGACCATTCCAGCTCCTTGGGTTGGCACCGACTCGGCTGACGAAGCGACCGTGCGTGCGTGCGTGCGTGCGTGCGGGGAATCAGTGGGAACGAAGGTGGACCTCATCGACGCAAGCTCCGCAGCAAGGCCGTGCAAAAGGGAAGTCAGCGAGGAGAAGGCCCGGGCAATGGCCCGTAGACTGAACGCAGTGGCGTGGATGGAGACGAGCAGCAAGCAGGACGCCCAGAACGGTGCGCCACCATCTCTCCGCTGGCACTCTTGCGGTGCCTGACCCAGGGGCGCGTGCAGTGAACGAGCTGTTCGAGCGAATGCTGCGCGAGTCTTTGGAGTGGGCGGATCCCTTCCGCGTGCACGTACCGGTCCGGGAAGAGCCAAGCGGGTGGTTTGTCCCGCCGTCGTTGAGCACGCAACTGCTCGCCCGCAATAGAACCCTCGACTGCTACGACGACGGTGGTGGTGGCCAAAGCCGCAGCTGCGTGCTTCAGTAATGCACCGTGACCGGTGCGGGGCGTACGTGTGCATAAAGAGTGTGTATTTGGTTCGAGCGTATTATGATGGTTGCACATGAACAGACGGCCTCGAGCTGGGGAATGGGGGGGGGTTTACTCCTGCTTCCTCCTCACGGCGCCGGCCGAGTGGGAGGGAGCCGAGGCGTGCTTGGACGCGGAAGCGCGGCGGCCGTAGCTGGCGAAGTAGAACTGGCAGAAGAGGACGAGGAGGGTCAGCGCGAATCCTCCGTTGATGACTCCGATGTAGCGGTGCTCCGGCGCGGCGTTGATCATCGCATACGCCCCTGCACCGAACGCGCCTTTGGTGTCAGTAGCCGGCCGCATCTTTGCCACCTCCAGCGACCCAAAACCAAAAGAATGAAAGCGAAACGGCGTTTCGCGAAGGCCGAGGCCAATAGTACCGAGGACGACGAAGGAGAAGAGCTGGGAGATCTGCAGGCGGGTGAGGTACATCTTCCACCAGGGCTGGTAGCCCCGCGTGGACTGGAAGTAGTAGTAGTACATCACCACGTGCACGAACGAATTGAACAGAGCCGGCGGGTAGGCCTCCTACGTGATGTGGACACCGCACCGGAGACGACGCCGTCAGCACAAGTGAAAAAGAGCGAGAAAGAACGAAAAGCGGAGAGCGTCAGAAAGAGCGAAGAAAAGAAAGCGAAGTGGGCGGGCGTACGCCGCCAGGGTAGTAGGCGACGTTGAAGCGCCACACGAGGAATGTACCCACATGGTGGTACACGTGCAGGAACGACAGCTGGCGCTGAGCGCCGCGCACAATCATGATCACCTGCGCGCAATGCCCACACCACCACCATCAGCACAGGTTGCACAAATGACGCAGCACCATCACGGCCTCATGGGGTGTGCGTACGGTGTCGATCCACTCGAGGACCTTGGACAGGTAGTACAGGTACAGCACCTTCGCCATCTGCGTACGGAGGCCACCGGTGGTCAGTGTGGCGCATCATTTTTCAAATATTTTAAAAATAATATCGGGATTAATGAAGAAAACAATACAAGAAAAAATGAAAGCGGAAAGAGGGAGAGGGGGGGGAAGTACGCCAAGGCCCTGCTCGCCGGGGGTGATGGCACCGAACCAAGTGGTGACGGACGCCTGGTAGAGCATTTCGAGGACGAAGTAGAGGTTGATGAGGGTCATGGCGGCATTGTACACCAGCCTAATACTCCGGAGGTCGCCCGCCGCGCCGGCCTTGTCGCCCGCGGCGCCCTTGGCCGCCGCCTGCTTGCCTCCGGCGGGGTGGAGAAGTCGGGGCAGCACGACGACAATGACGACGTAGAGAAAGGCGGCACCGAGGGCCTCGTTGAACTCGAGGAGCGGCCACCCGGTGGTGCGCTCGTCGAGCGTGCGAGCTTGGAAGCCATCCACCAACAACCTCAGGTGCTCCATGTCTTCTCCGGCAGTAATCGTTTGTTGGGGTTATAAAAAAAGAAGAGGCGAAGGAGTTCGACCACCGCTTCGGGGGTGTTATCGTAATTAACAACTTGCGGCCGACGGTTGGGGCAACAGCTCCGGTTCTGCGCCCACCACGAACGGAAAGCAACGTTGGCGACCGGTCGCGAAGGATGAAAAGGCACGTTGCGAGCCTTAGCTTACAGCTCTTCCTTGGTGGCTTTCTCCTTCTGGGCCTTGAGCCTCTTGCCGAGCTCCTTCTTCTGGGCTTCGAAGTCCTTGGTGAAGCGCTTGGAGAGGCCAGCGATGTCCTTGTTCACCTCGCTAAAGTCGGGCGCCGCCTCGAGTCCCAGGAACTGCACCACCCTGTTCACCAGCGTTGAAGCTGCACATCAACCCGCCCACCACAAAGAATCAATCCCACGATTGTGCTATGGCACATCGGCCACATTGGTTCGCAGCACTGCACAGGTCGGATAAGCAGAAGGTGAGGAGGTACCGCTGTCGATAACGCCGCCCTCACCGCAGAATGTGGAGCACATGGAACACAGGGAGCAGTAGCTGCAGTACTTGCACAAAGAGCACTCCTTGACGTGCGTGCATGGGCACTGGTCACACTTCCTACGCGCATTGGGAATGAGCTCCCGAGATTATGGCATAATCTCATCTTAGATTCAAAAGGAAGGCGTACTCGCAATGGGGGCAAAAGGCGCAGTATTGGCACGGATTGGGAAGCGCGTGCGAAGGCACGATAAGACTCACGAAGATGGCCACCGCAATGATGTTCGCCACAGTCGTAATAATTGGCGCCATCTTCATACAGTTCGAATTTGCTTTATGTACAAGATTTGCCTTCTTGGGGAACCCCCAGAGGTCAGTGGGATTCTTTTACCTTATCCCACTCAACGTGAGTCACAGGGCACACGTGAGCAAGCAAGGCTGGCTGCGCATCAACTACTGTTCGACCCTCGACAGCGAGCTTGCGGTCCTCCACAGCGTGGCCACCCTTGAGTCGCCTCCGTCCTGCGCCAGAAGGGGCGGGAAGCAGCTCCTGCAGCTGCGCCTGCACCTGCTCCTGTACTTCCTCCTTCCCTCCCCCATTCTCTGTTCGCACGCACCACCCAATCAGCCCCACCCAGCCACAGCGCGAACAACCCCACAGCGAGAAAGCGTACCCTCCAAGAACGACATCTTTCTGTGTTGGTGGTGCCTCGCGCTTCTCTTTCTTCGGCTCTTGACAGCCGTTTTATTTTCAACAATTTTTCTCACACTTCTGCAAAGCACTGCACAGCTGCACGGGGCCTGGTTAGGCGTCCTGGTTTCCACCGTTGCCTCGCCTTCGCTGTCGGTTCTCCTCGCGCTCTTGCAGGTGTTCGTCGTACTCCTCGTCCTCGTCCTCCCACACCACGCGCAGGTTGTTGGCGCGGTCGCGCGTGATGCGTGGAATGTAGAACCGATTGTCGGTGCCCTTCCCGCGCCACTGCCGGAGCCACGCGTGCCTGATCTTACCCCCGATCTCCCCCACGCCCTGCCTCCGCGGCCTGCCGAAGAGCTGCTCCTGTCCTGCCGCTCCGCCCAACTCCTCCTCGTCCTCCCCCTCGAAGGCGGCGGCGTTGTCCCAGCTGGCAAAGGCCGAGGAGGCGCCGGGATGGTCCTCGCGGGTGCGGTTGGGGATGTAGATGGTGCCGCCGCGGCAGATGCCTCGCGGCAGGGTGCTGGAGACCCGCAGGCGCCGAGACGAGCCCTGGTCCTCGGGCAGGTGCCAGCCGGTGATGGAGGTGGGCGCGGGGCTGATGGTGGAGTTGTTGGGGAGCCCACCGAGGTTGTTGATCGCGTTCTTGATGTCGGCATGCTCGCCCTCGTCCTCGCTTTCGGTGTCGCTGTGGTGGCGGCTACGCTTCTTGTGCTCCTTTCCGTCGGCCTTCTTCTCCTTGTCGGTGCCGTGGTGCTCCTCGACGTAGTTGAGCCACGAGTAGACTTCGTCCTCCTCGAGGATCTCATCGAGCAGCAGTCGGCGCAGAATGTGGAACGGATCGCGACTGTCCTCCGCCTGCCACGCGTAGAGCCCTCCTGCCGCCCCCTCGACCCTGCGCACACACGAGCATGCGCGGGTCAGTGCGGGGAGGAAAAAGAGAGAGGCAACAATGGTGATGGGTTGAGAGTAGTACTTGAGGGTGATCTTGCGGATTCGCTTGAGCATGGGGTCTTGGGTGTTGGCCTTCTGTTGGCGTTTCTGGAAGGCCTCGATAATGAAGGCCACCATCACGCTATCATAGCGCGATCATTCATAGCGTTGTTAGGCTTACGTGTGCGTGTTCCTGCGCAGATGCGCTGTCGCGTGGGAGCAGAGTGGTGTACTTGAATAGGACGATGACCGCAAGCAGGTTGAAGATGACGAAGAACAGCCATGCCGCCTTTCCACTGACCGCAGAGTAGCCGACCGCCGTCACTTTATGGGCGAACATCAGCTCAAGTTCACTTTTGATAGCCGTGAGAGGGAAAACGAAAGATGAGGGAGGCGGCGGTACCATTGTAGTTGTTGATGACGTTGAGGTGGAAGAGCGTGAAGAGGGCCTCGAGGAAGGAGTTGAAGTTGAGCATGTAGTACCCCAAATCGGCAAAGGTGGTGCCCTTGAGGGCTGCCGTGTCCTTAGTGATTTTACCCGCCCAGATCTGCATCCCTATCAGGGCGAACACGTAGTACAGCACCTGCACACGCCCCCGGGGCCAAGAGCGAGTGAGTGCGTGCGTGCGTGCGTGCATGTGTGTGTGTGTATGTATGTATGTATGTGCCGTGTGTGACGTGTGTGTGTGTGTGAATAGGCGGAGCCGGGAGGTGCCGCTTGGGTGAGGAAGATAGGTCGCAGGGCGGGTATGACGTCGTGGATGGCGGCGAGCGTCGTTTGAAAACGGCTCACTCGTGAGAAGAGCCGCGTGAGCCGCAGCAGCCGCCCGATGAAGATCACCTTCACCCAATCTACGCGCGCAGTGCCCCGATTGGAGGTGAGCAGCGACGACAATGCAACGGGGAGGGCAAGGGCGGACCAATGGGGGTATTAAAATCGGCGAGGAGGATCGAGAAGCCGAGACTGACGAAAGCCAAGAGCAAGACATCGAATCTGATGAACGCCCACGGCCAACCGAGAAGTGAGCATGCGCGGGAGGGGCAGCTCGATGGCCAGCTCGCGCAAAAACAGATAGAAGGGGAAGGGGTGTGGAGTACTTGTGCCAGTGGTACCGCCAGTAGGCGCTGGGTCCCAGGGCGTACACCCGACAGAAGAATTCGAGCCACAGCACCGAGAACAGCACGTACTCAGAGGCGTGGTTCTCGAATCGGACCTGTCGGTGTGTGTGTGGTGTGTGGTTTTGCATGGCACTGGTTACACGCATGTGACGTGGCGCATGCGCGCGTGCGGGGCTGGCTCGGACCTCAGTTGTAATATTATCGCCGTTCAATTGAAGCTGCAGTTCGACCAACAAGACCACCACGCTCACCACGATCACGAAATCCACCGCCCACGACGCAAACCTGCAGAACCGGGTTTGGCCCAAGTGATGTGAGTCGCGAGGGGGAGCGATCGCCCGGGGAGGGAGGGGAGGTGGCGGCGCACTTGTGGAGGACGATCTTGCGGAAGACCTTGCTGGCCCGGGAGTAGTAGAGCGAGGGCCACGCGCGACCAAATACGTGGGGGCTGACGTTGATCCGGTGCAGCCTGTACGTGAGCAGGTCCACGATCCGCAGGAACTCCTTGTACCCTATCCTCGATACACGCATCGCACCGCACGTGAAGGTGAGCCCAAGTCGACACAGCTTTGGAGGACCGTGTGCGCAGCTATAACATTGGGGAAGGCCCGTACGGAGGTAGCCCTTTTGGCCCTTGTCCAGGATACGGAATACCATGGCGACCTGCAGGTCGATTTGATGATCGCCGGCGAGCCATGGCCCGGGTTGGGAGGGGGTTCAACAACCAAACAATCAAAGTGTGAGCGGTGAAAGTACGCACCTTCTCGGGCCTGTAGTGGGGCTTGAGCACGGCGAACAGCTGCTCCCACACGGGCCACGAGAGCTTGCCGGAGACGTGACAGCCGAAGAGCTGCCAGGCCGCTGCCAGCCTCTGGTGCTGGTGGTACAGCACCTGCGCCACCTCTCCCTGCGCGCAGCCGACCCCCCATCAAGGCGTTACATTGACGATACAACACCGACGCAGTGGCCTCGACCAGCGCGTACCTTGAGCCCGCTCTTGTAGACAGTGTAGATGGTGGCAAGCACGATGGCCATCAAGAACCAGGAAACCACCAGCACGTAACCGATGAACAATAGCGACCACCAGGCGCTCGCATGATACGCAGGAATCCTGGTGGGCGTCGTTTCGTTGGGGGCCTCGTGAGAAAAGGAGGGAGGGACGAGTGGTCGGAAGGGGAGGAGGGCGGGCGTACATGATGTCAGGGTAGTTGAGCGAGTAGAGGCCAAAGTAGAGGTTGATGTAGGCCGTGAACAGGTCTGGAAAGTACTCACGGCCCTCGTGACTACTCTCGCCAAAAAAAAAACAGAGAAGTGTAGAGCAGCAGTCAGCAGTGGAGTGGGCGAACAGAGAAAGGGGATGGGAGGCGAGGTGGTACGTACCTTCCGGCGAAGATGACGGCGCAAACACTGCCGAAAAGGATGATGGCGAGAAGAATGAGCAGCAGAAGATCGAACAGGCTGAACACGATGCGGCGGATCGTGTTCGTCGCAGTACGTAGCAGGCGCGACGAATAGAACAACCACCACGGACGCAGATATCGCGTGAGTCGCAGCGTGTTGCCCGTGGCACTGCTCAGCATGACGTCGGCCAGCGTGGCCTGCACACCGTGAATGCAAAGCACACACATATAATAAGACGACCACAACGTTGTTTTCATGCCACAACCAAAGAGAGAGCCGGCGGGCGTACGGTGATAACGAGAATCTGTGTGATGATCTTGGGGCTACGGAAGAAGGCCCGTCGCTCGAGGAACTGAAAGCGAACGACGAGCTCGGCCAGCAGCGCGATCATGCATATCACTTCAAGCACTGCCGACAGCTGTCGTGAACATCGTCGTGAGCTTCATCATCCTTTGTGCAATACATGTAGCACGATTGGCAGACAGTAACGCTGTCTGCCAATCCGTGTGGTGGGGGGGAGGGACGTACCCCGTCAAAGGGCGGTGTGATGGTGTAGGGCGGCTCGATAAAGGCCAGGAAGAGGTCCACATAGATGAACAGCTTCCATGACAGCTGCACCCACCCTCTCTTGTAGGCTCGATACAGCCTGTACCAATGCACATGCAACGACGTCAAGGTCGGTTGAGAGTGGCCAAGGGGGCGGACAGAGAGTACCGGAGGCTGCCCATGTCGGTGCGGTGTTCTTCTAGGCGTCCGTAGATGGCGTCAGAGACGAAGGTGGCGGCGATGAGAAGGGCCTGCGGGTCCACTTCGTCGTCATACGTACCCGGACAACCGGGTGTGGGCGGAAATTGTGTCATTCCCTGACCCTCATCTTCATCTTCCAATTCATCAATCGCATTGATCGATAAAATGCGCTCCGTTTCCGACATCTCCCCCACTTGCCATGTACCTACCACTCGCCACCCTGCTCCTCCCGAGCAGCTGCGTTGCAGAGTTTAAACAGAACCGAAGCACACAACGGGGCCCCGCAGTTGGTACTGCTTATTTATTTCGTATTATTTTTCCCCTCTTTGGCTCCAGGGCGCCAATCAGGGAAAGCAGCCAGATCACGTGGGTTGGGGAGCGAAGATTCTGTGAGAGAGTGCAGCGAGCAACTCAGGCGGTCGCGACGACTTCCTTCTCGAGGTGAAGCTCGGCGATGGTCTGTTCTCGCATCTTGTGCTTCATGTACTTGCCGGTCACGGTCATCGGGAACTCCTCCTTGAAGACCACATACTCAGGAATCTGCGTGTAGGTGAGTAGGCGACCAGGTGCACTCCACTTCACTGCGCAGGTGGCCAAGGAAAGGTGCTCACCCACCTTGTAATGCGCTATCTTGTCCTTGCAGAAGGCATGTATGTCCTCGGCAGTCACAGCTCGCGCCTTGGTGTTGTCCTTCTTCTTGATCCAGGCGCACACCTTCTCGCCGTACTGCAGACATGACGCCAGGGGGGTCGCTTTGAGTCAGATCCCGCAGGGCGTGTGCGCAAAACGTAACGAACCTTCCTGTTGGGAACGCCGATGACCTGAACGTCTTCGATGGCGGGGTGGGTATAGAGGAACTCTTCGATCTCACGCGGGTACACGTTCTCTCCGCCTCGGATGATGACGTCCTTGCTCCGACCCACGATCTTGCAGAAGCCGTCCTCGTCAAACACTAGAAAGAGACATGCATGAGCTAGTTGGCTCAATTCCTGCTGCAGAAACATAACCACCACCGCGGGCGGGTGGGCACCTGCGAGGTCGCCCGTGTGCATCCATCCGCCAGCGTCGATCGACTCCTCGGTCTTCTTGGGGTTGTTCCAGTAGCCCTTCATCACCAGGTACCTGCACGACCAGCCACTCAGCCAGTGACCGCTGATGTTCCCGCGACCCACAGGGCGCGCGCATACATACCCTTTCGTGCATAGCTCGCCCACGTGGCCCACTGGAACCGTCCGGCCTTCGGTGTCAACGATCTTACACTGTAGCACGATCAGTGCTGATGATGTCAACCAGATGGTCTGCAGACAACTGTTCATAGCATGGTATGTACCTCGGTGTGGGGATGGACTCGCCCCACGGTCTCTACTCGCTTCTCCAGCGGAGAGTTTCCCTCGGTCTGGAAGCTGAGAGGGCCGTCGTGAGTACGCCGTACCGGAGTAGGTTCGGGAGAGAGGGAAAGGGCGCATGAGAGGGAGACGTACCTGCCGGGAGAGGTTTCCGTCATGCCATACGTGATGGTCACGTCTTTCATGTGCATTTCGTTCACGACCCGCTTCATGACTTCAATGGGGCAGGGGCTTCCCGCTTAATGGGTGACACAGGGCGTTGAGAAGATCAGTAAGCCAAGTTAAGTGCAAGTACTTGGTTCGGGGGGGAGGGAGGGGGTACCCATGATGCCCGTACGCAGAGAGCTGAGGTCGAACTCTTTAAAACGGGGATGCTCCAATTCGCTGATGAACACTGGCACCACGCGTGCGGGGTACACGGACGTGAGGAAGCAGCTCACAAAAAGGCCTGGCCGTGTAAAGAAGACGTACTCGTTGGCACTCCATGCAGGCCGGTGCACTTTTCCTCTTGCACGGCTTCCAGCACCTTGAGAGGATCGTAGGAGGGCGACGGGTACACTACCTTCGCCCCGTGCGTGAATGCCGCCAAATTTCCTGCTCGTCAACCATCCCCGCGAGACCAGTGAGCAAACAGTGCCACGGAGCAGGGAGAGGAGCGGGCCGCAGCAGCTTTACCTAGCACGAGACCAAAGCAGTGGTAGAGCGGAACCGGCACGCATAGGGTGTCGTCAGGGGTGAGTCCCATCCTCTCGCCGGCGAAGAAGCCGTTGTTGAGGATGTTCAGGTGAGTCAGCGTTGCCCCCTGTTCGTGCATGGACGGCTCATCGAGGTAAGTGGCCGCGGAGGAAGAGATAGAGGGCGAGGAGGGAGTAGGTAACCTTGGGCAGGCCGGTGGTTCCGGAGGTGAACTGGATGTTGATGGCGTCGTCGACGTGTTGGGCCTGGGCGAGCGACTTCAGATTCTGTCTGGTGTCTGGACTGCTGGCCTTTTCGGAGAGCACGTCCACGTACCTCCGCATACCTGCCCAGGCACGGATGGGGCATTGGTTAGTTTGTGCCGCGGAGGGGGCGCGGACTGGCGAGCCGCGGTGCCTTTGACGTGCTGATCTGTGATCTGTATGAGGTGCTTGAGCGTAGGGACCTTGGTCGAGTTGAGTTCTCCCGCTGCACCTGTCATGGTGGCGATGATGAGAGCTCACCTCAATGCTCGTCTGGCGAACGTGCAGTGAGCGGAAGCGTACTGTGCTCGAGTTCGGGAAGTAATTCATGGAGCAGCTCGAAGTAGTTGCTCGACTTGAGCTTGTCCGTTACGATGAGTCCCTTACACCCCACGAGGTTGAGCGAGTGTCTGTTGTGGGGCGTATTTCATGCGATCAGCGTAACGCAGGTCCGAACCCGCAATGCACGACAAGATGACAGGAGAGGGCACGCACTCAAGCTCGTAGACGCGGTAGGCTGGGTTCACGTTGACCAAAATGATGCCTGTCTTGGCCGTTGCGAACTCAGCCACGACCCATTCGGCCGTGTTGGGCAGCCAGATGCCCAAGCGATCGCCCTTCTCGAAGCCCAGGTCGAGGAGTCCCTGCGAGAAGGCGTCCACTTGTCTCTGCAAAGACAACCGCTTGGTCAATGACTCTAAGCGGTGCGCTCTCGCAAGACCAACACACGACACACGACACACGACACACATGCACACACACGACACACGACACACACGACACACGACATACACGTGGTACCTGCAGATCGTTCCACGACCAGCGAATATCTTGGTGAACGACCCGCAAGGCCTCCTTATCCCCGTACAGATCGACTTGCTCATCGAAGAAGGCGCCAATGGGCTTGCTGATCAACGGGATCGAGCGATCGCCCTTTACGTGTGAGATGAGGGTGATCGCGTGCGGTCTCGCCGGCGGGTGGATGGGCAGCGGCAGGTGGTCTGGCTCGGCTTTCGCCGGCACATGGTCCTCATGCGCCTTGGGCAGCAGGTTGGCGAGCGCATCTGCCGTGTGTTCACCACATGTAAGTGCCGGTTTCGGCGACGGCAGCCCATAGTAGCGGTCATACCCGGGTTCTCTTTCTGGTAGGGCGCAAGGCAGGCGCGGCCGGCGTGGAAACCCCTGATCGGCCCGTAGGGAATCGTCCCGCCGGGCGCCTGCCATTGTCTAGCTCGAGCTCGCCGGCACGAAGACGCTGCAGAGGTGGCCATACGACCCCGCATTCTCAACGGAAAGGGGGGGGGCACAGCGCCGGAGCAAACTGAAGGCGAGGTTATGTAACTGCAAAAGTAAAAGTTCCCGCTGCAACCGGTGGTGCCCCTGACGAGTCAAATGCAGGTACTCTATGCAGGCAACAGAGGCCTATTAATCGAAGGAGCAACAATAAATAAATAAAATCTGGCGATAAATAAAATAAAATTGAGATAGAAAAAATGCCTGCTTTTATATTTCTGTAGACTGAGGCGTCCCGTTGTTAGAAGAGACCCAGCCAACTCTTCTTCTGCTCCTCAGCAGGGCCACTGAGCTCGGCCTTTAGGTTGGACACCACCTCCCCAGCTTCGTCCGCGTTTCGCTTGACCTCGTCCGACTTCGCCTTCCCCTGCGGCTTGGGCTTCTGCTCGGCCACCCGCATTTGCACCTTCTTCCTTCCCCTGGCCGGTGCCTCTTTCTGCGCTCCGTTGCCCTTCTTCTTTTCGCTGCTTTCCTTGGCCGGCGTCGCCTTCTGATCCTCGCGCGCTTGCGACAGGAGACTCTTCCTCTGGCCCTTCGCGTCATTACGGACCTCGGCCTTGGTGAAGGCGGGGGCTGCGCCAGCGGACGCGGAAGTCGAAGCGGAGGTGGAGGTGGCCGAGGAGCCTCCGTTGTCGGTGTAGTCGTAGTCCTCCGTGACGGCCAGCCAGGGCATGCGCTCGGCAGGATCGCCCAGACCGACGCCGTCCTGTGTCATCTTCTCGATGAAGTCCACCACCCGCTCCAGCTCGTCGTTGGCCATCGATTGCGACATGTTGGTGTTGTTGTTGTTCTCTTGTGGTTGAGTGTTGGTTGAATGCAGCGTGAGAGCGTCTCTTGGCGCTAGATAAGGGGAGGGTGAGCCGGTCGGTCATTGGCCCGAGCTGCCACCATGCGAGGCCGAGGTCGTGCCGGCGAAATCTCCCTTAAAGCGCCAGCCGGGACTACGAGCTTGAAGGTGTGGCAACTACGACCGAAGGGAGAGGGAGAAGCAGCGAAAGAACACACCGAACGGAGGACGTGTGCACCAGTGTTAGGCCGCACGCGGGCGATTGAGTTTTGTGGTTACAATAAAACATGTCTCACGAAGCGAAGCGCGACAGCTCTGGCTGCCTTCGAGCAGGGTGCTGATACCAGGCAGATTCGATGGCACGGATCCTGGGTGGAGGGAGCTGTAGGCAGAGCAGAACAAGAAGGAGAAGAGAAGCCAAGAGGGGAGGGCGGCATCGTTCATGATGGTCGAGGCTGGTCGGGCGGATAGTCGAACTTCTTGAAGTAGGCGGGAGGCCTCTGTCGGAAGTCCCACACGTGCGGACCCTTCTTCCTCTCTCGCTGTTCGCGAATGTCACGCAACTCCCTCTGCGACACCGACCGCACACAGTTGCAACGAACAGTACGACGAAACCACAGGGATGGAGCCGCGTCAGCATAACCCAGGTTGCTGCTTCGCCAGTGCAATGCATTGCGCGAGGAAGAGTGTTGAATGCGCATTGAAGGCGAGGACGCTGCGCACCTTGGCTTGGTCGTACTTCCTAAACTTGAGGAGGACGCATGTCTGCAGGTTCTCCCAGCGCTCCTGGCAGTTGAAGCCCACGCTGCCATCACGGTAGAAGTTACGCAGCCACCATGACGGCGCTTCACGCGGCAAAGATGGGCGGAGGAAAGTCACATAAGAAAAGTCAATAAAATGATGGCCACACGAAGGTGACGAGGAGGGAGGTACCGGCACACTGGCCCCACAATTCGAAGAAATTGTAGCATTTCAATTCTTGCGGATCGGACGGCAGCGCGTAGCCGGGCGGGAGTGGCGGCCACGCACGGGACGGTCGCTTGGGCTTCCCCTCCGCGTCTTCGCTGTCCTCCTTGAGCAGATCCTGAAACAACAGCTCCTCTTGTCCTTCCTTCTCTTCCGCCATCTTCTCCACACCAAATAAACCGGTTTCAAGCAAAAAGAAAAGAAAAGGGAAAGAAAAAGAACGTGAAGGCCGGGAAGATGCAGAATGCACCAACAAAGAGCTCTCCAGACGTCATGGATCATGTCGCAATCATGAGCAAAGCGAGCGGCTTTATCGATAAGATTTTGAGCGGGCACAAGACGATTGAATCACGTTGGTACGCTACGCGAAGGCCGCCCTGGGACAGGGTGCACGCGGGGGACACCGTCTACTTCAAGTACAGCGGAGGCGCAGGGGAGCGGGTGAAGGTTCGAGCGACCGTGGATAGGGTGCAGCAGTTCGAGAACATTGACCAAGACGGCGCCGCGCAGCGCATACTCGACCAGCACGGTGCTCACATCTTCGGAACCGACACGAGCGCCACCGCGCCAACAGAGGCAGGGAAGGGGGGCGCTGCCGAAGCGGACAATGAGGAGACCAAGAACAGGACGGCAACGGGCGCCAGGAAGCGAAGAGGAGGTACAGAGGAGGGCGAAGTGGAGAAGAGGAGGCGAAAGTCGCAACAGAGCGAGAAGACAGGTCCGCTGTGGCGAGGGAAGAAGTACTGCATCTTGGTGTGGCTGAAAGACGTGATGGAGGTCGAGGACCCCTTCCTCATCAACAAACAAGGCTTTGGCAAGATGACCGCCTGGCTCACTGTACCCAACATCAGCCAAATACTCCTTCCTGAGGACTAGCAACGGCAGTGGCTTTCCTCTTGCACGTGTTCTCGTGGTGCTTGTGACTTACTGCCTCTTCCTGCAGTACCCGACCTGCAAGGTGGAGATGGAATGCAGTTTGTCCTCCTCGTTGCGAAGAGAAGGATAACAAGCAGAATTTCTGAGGACCTCACAACAGCCGCCATCACAAAATAAGGGGCAAACTGTTAGGTGCCCAACGTGTGACAGTAGATGCACCAGCCAGTACCTCACAACACACCTGGTGCGATGCGCGCCAAGGGGTGGTTGAACGAGGAGGTGTGCGCCAGCACCTGGATCGGGCCATCCCGGTGGATTGTGCCTTTCTGGCCTTGAGTAGACCCACTTTTAGCTTCGCCTGAGGAATGTTGACCTGCTCTTGAGCGCAATGCGGTGGAATGTTTATCATTTTTGTGTGAGCGGAAATATGCGCAGCATGTTGGTCCGACGACCAACGTTTCCTGGGAGGTGCCATAGCAGCGGGACGGTTTCCGCCACGCAGTGATACAGGGAGGCGGGAAGAGGGAAGAAGGCGCGCTGTCCCTGCAACCCTGGCCGCGCACCATAAACACCGCGCGGCTAACGAAGCGCAACATCGGCAGCGACGACACACCAGGAGACCAGGCCACGCTTGCGCATGCCACCAACCCGCGACTGACAACCCCTGCACGCCCCGCGCCTCTCCTCCTTCCCGCAGCAAGCCCGACCGGCGACTAGTAAATAGAAGAATAGAATAGAAATCGTCGAGCTTTATTTCTAGAAGAAGCTTCGAAAAGCCCGATCGAATTGATTCGAGGCGATTTAGAGATTAGAGTAAGTACGGCGCCGTACTTGGAGAAGAAGGCGAAGCAATGCACAATGCCCCGATCGAGGGCCACTATCTCGAGCACCAGAACTATCTCTCCCCTCGCGGCCCTGCCGCCCCCTTCAGCCCGATCCAGATGAAGACTTCATCTTCGAGTGCCTCCTGGCTGCATCGCAGCAATGGCGGCAACGTTGCCTCGCTCCAGCCACCCTCAACGAAGCCAAGTATAGGCGCACCGCTGCTGGGTTGCATCTTTTTCCTCGATATGGCAAATGACGATGCGCGCAAGCTCTCCACAGAAAGGCAACTCAAACAACTTGCAGCGGTACGCTTTGCCCACCACGCCCCCCCTCCCCCTTGATTAATGCATGATGGATGTCGAGCTTTCGATTCGTTTTTACGCGAAATGCTTTTTGGGGCGCAACAAATATTCCAATTTTCATGCCCTGCCTGCCAACGGCCCTTCCACCTTTCTGTGGGCCGGGCTGGGTGTGCCGTGTCACCTGGGCGGTGACGTGTGCGTGTGTGCGTGTGGTTGGGTTGTGGCAATGAAATGCGGACGAGACCTACTGAACTGACGAGTCTCTTTTCCCCCACTCCCCTTTCCGAACCCACCTGCTCGTCGCGGCTTGCGACCTCGTCCCTCTCCACCACTTTCCCGTCTTCCCACTCCGCGATTCCTTTTGGCTGCTCTGTCTCCGCTTCCCCCCTTTGGTACCCTACGGCCGTCCCGCGGGCTCCGCAAATGCGACACTTGCACTTGTCTCGGTTGTGGCGCGCCCCTCGTTCTCCCTTGCATTTCCCCTCTCTCTCTTTCGCTTGTCCGTGCTGCTCCCTCGCGCTTGCCGTCGTCTCCTTTGTTCTCATCCTCCCGCCCGCCCGATCTTGTGATCGCCTCACTGCTCCTCTCTGCCACTACGCCTCCGGTCAACCACTACACTGCACTGCACTGCACCTCCTCCTTCGCGCCTCTTCTTCTCTGCACCTTGATCAACCCTCCGCACACGAACATCAACAGAGGGTCGAAGACCTGTTCAATGGAGACATCGTGACCCACGTCATTACCACACGCCACCTCACGCACGAACAAAAGCTCAAGATCCAGCAGCAGGCCCTCTCCCCGCCGCCGCCGCTCTCCTCTTCCTCTTTGGCCTCGGCCTTCCTGCCCGTCGCCACCACCACCTCCTCCACGCCTGGCCTCTCGTCGCCCTCGCTGCCGGCCTCGCCCCACCCGTCATCGTCGTCGCAGGCTATGACCGTGCCGCCCTCTACACACCAGCCCCTCACCACCTCCACCTCCACCTCATCAACCTCGACGCTGCTGTCGCCCTCGACGCTTGGCATCTCCAACGCCACGGCCTCAACGTCCCCCAACTCTCCCTTCTCGTCGTCGCCCTCGTCGCCCTTCTCCTGCAACCCGGCCGCGGGCTCCTACCCGCCGCCGCAGGCCTCGTCGTCGCCGTCGTCACCGTCGGCCATGGCTGCCTACGCCCCGCCATCCACGGCCGGCGGCGCCTCTTTGCGACCGCCCACGCCAGGCAACGCTGCTATTCCCGCGCCCACAGCCCCGCACTCGCTCATCGAGCAGCTGCGATACGCATCCGGCAGTGGCAAGCGCAAGGAGTCACAACTCGCCATGGTACGCCCCGACGCCATGCATCTTTTTCATTACCTTTATCATTTACATTTACATGCTCTGTAGATCATACATACGTTGCACAACTGTGTTTGCTTACCCGCCCTTCCTACAGACGCGGAAGGCCTACATGATGGCTCACCAGCAACAGCAGGTGCAGGCCACCGACACGTACGCCGACTTCCTTCCTTTTTCTTTTCTTTCGCCTCTGCTTGCATTCATTTCTGCCAGAGGATTGTCGCCTTCACGCACTCAACCGCCAATGTGGGTGTCTACACACAGTGAACTATCAGAGGATGTCATCGCTTTGGCGTATCGGCTGGGCAAGAAGATCTATCACATCGACAGTACGTCCCCCTATCTTTTGTGTTATGCGCTGTAACAATGGACGAGTGTATTTATTTTGGGCACTACTCACTTTACCCTCTCTTCTTGCAGAGTTTGCACCTTGGCTGGAGAAGCACTGCTCGCCCTACGGCTCCGCAATGACCACCACCACCACCACAAGGTTCGCTCTGGCCACACTCTTGTCTTGGGGTGCCCACCCGGCCGCCGAGTATTTGATTCATCATTTATTTTACCAAGCAGTGTGCCGAGGCGCGGAAACGAGTCTACGCACACGACGGCCGAGTCGCCCATCGGCTCTCCCCAGGGCCAACGTGCGTGACCGCGCCCTCTCCTATGCTGCCGTGTCCTGTATGAGTTTTCCCGACTGACCCCACCGTTGCTCTTCTCTCCTACGCTCCGGTGGTGCTTGCAGGCAACCTGTCGACGAACTGTCAGTCGACAGCCGCGGGGCCTGCGTGGTCCACCGCGTCTGTAGATATGCTGCCTTCCCTCAGCGCCGCCACCGCTGCTGCGCCGTTTGCACCGGTCATGGTCGTCCCGTCGTCGCTGCCTCCCTTCCCCTCGGGCCTCCCGGGCTCCTCCGCCACCGCTGCCTCCACAACCGGCGTCGTGCCCACGACCACGACCACCAAGCCTCCATCGCCCACCACGCTGCCCTCTTTCCAGGCGCCCTTCCTCATGGTCGAGGATCTCAAGGTAACCATTTTCCTCCTTCTTCCGTGCTGCCGGTAGTTGACGAGCGTTGACATGCGTGTTGTTGCACATGTGTAATCGTTTGGCCACTCACAACACACACAACACGCACACACGCACACACACACACAGGGACAATTCAAAACGATGTACAAAGAGTTCCCCTTTGACTCCTACGGCTGTTCGACGGTGCCCTTCCTCAACCTGGACGCGCCACCCGGCTGCTCGCCCTTCCTCGACGCCGAAACGATCAAGAAGCACAAGGTAAAGTCACTCCAGCTCCAAATCGAGGTTCTTCTCTCTTCTCTCCACGTGTTTCTCTCGCTCTGTGTGTGTGTGTGTGTGTGCCTCTTCATTCCTTTCACGTTCGCACTCGAGTGCTGACTGTCGTAATCATGCGCGTACCAGGAAATGCAACGACAATACCAACAAAAGCTGGAGCAGCGGAAACGTGAGAAGCCGGCCGCCGGCCGGCCCAAGCGACCCACCTCAGGTACACCCTTGAAACCACCCTGACCACCGCCGGTGTTTCACACACGAGTCTCTGACTTCTCTCTCTCTCTCTCTTCCCGCTACAGCGCCGCTCACGCGCCCGAGGCGACCCTCGCCGAGAGAGCGCTCGTCGCCGCAGGCCGCGATGCAGGAGTCGGTGGAGATGTGGGAGGGCGAGGATGGCGGCGGCATGGCGGACTCGTCCCTCCAGGTCCCGCACCCGTTCCGCGCGCCCGCGGCGGCGAACCCCATCGCCACCTCCCCCGGATCAGGCCTCGTGCTCTACCCGCCATCGACCTCCTCGTCGTCGTCGGTCGTCTCCCTCTCCTCGTCATCCTCTTCCTCCATGCACCAGCAGCGACGGTTGTCGCCCCTCTCCTCCCTGTCGGCGTCGACGCCCTACTGCCCCATGTCATCGACGCGGACGTCGCCCACGTTCGCGTTCCCGCCGCTCCACTCGTCGGCGCCCTCGCTCAACACGACGGGCACGACAGGCACGCCGCGACCGTCGAAGATGTCGTCATCGGGCGGCAGCCACCAGCACGTCCGGCCGCACTCACACTCGCACGGCTCGTTGACATCCTCTGCGTCCCTGCTCGCGCGAGCCCACTACCCCTCCGACTGGCGGGAGCGCCTCTCGGCTTCCTGCCTTCCGGTACCGCTCAGCCCCGCCTTTTCTCTGCTTTATCATCATTTACTCTTTTAGAAGGCGTTATAATTTGGTGGTCGTTCTCACTCGTGAACTCGTGTGCCATCAGCCTGATAGCAGCGGTCGGTCGCTCGGCGAAGAGATGGAAGACGACGCGTCAACGTCGACGTTCATGCAGCGAAGCGCGTAACGGGTGTGGTTCACTGGTGGGCAGTGTTTCTCCCTCACGGCGCGCGCGAAGTGGCCTTATTTATTTCTGGTCTCTGTATCTGTGTGCGTTGTCTTCCCCTGCCTCGTGGATGCTCAAGTGGGAGGGAGATCGCAGCAAATGCAAGAGCAAACGTGTTCAGTAGAAACCACCAAACCCTCGTCCACCACCGCTCCCGGTGGTGTAGTGAATGATGTAGGTCGGGAGGATCTGGTCCGGGCTGAAGATCACCAGTTCCTTGCCTGCAACGCAGCCATCAGCGCAGCTGTCAGCGGAGCAAACCAAATATAACGGGCGTTGTGGGGCAGGAGGAGGAGGAAGCACGGTACCGCACGGGGAGATGTGAGAGTCGTAGCCTTCAACCTGCGGCTTGCCAGTCTCGACCCGGGACATCCTGAACGAGTGGCCCACAAGCACCTTGCACAGCAGGAGCTTGGTGCCGCCGCGCACGTAGGGAATGCTTGCGTTCATCAAATTAAGATGATAGTACTGTCAGCACCACCGACTACACATTCGCGCAAGGACCGCAAAGCCGGAATCGGAACCCACCTGTAGCTCGCAAACTCTGGAAAAGCAGGTCGAGAGAAGGCCCCGTCAGCCAACGCCCAAAGAAGATGACGATGGTGATGAAGATAGGATGGGAGGTGCTGTACCGGAGAAGTAGACGCCCTTGCCATAGAACCCCAGATTGCCCGTGGAAGCGCCAATCTGGTTGTGTGTGTGGTGTGTGTACAAGAAATGAACGATTAGATACCTCAAGTAAGACAGGGATTGCAAACAAGCGCGCGTAGGCACCTTGCTGAAGTCAAAGTTGTGTTTGCAGATGGCGGTGATGTTGTCGTCCGACGTGCCATGCTGATGAGAGCCACACAATCAAGTCGCGGCTGTTAGCCCAAACCGTCCAACAAACGCCCGCAGGAATGGGAAGGGCACGCGCGTACGAAGGCCAAAATGGGCTTGGTGTCCTCCCAGTCGACGTGTCCGGCGAGCTCCAGCCGCTTTCGTTCAAAGTTCTTGACCAACGGCGGATTCACGATGTAGTCCACCCGCGTCACCTTCACCCCGGTCATCCCCTCGCACAGCCTGGAAACAGTTCACCCCACGCGTCGTATCGTGAAGCGTGGCCTCCACCCCTAGGGCGGGCGCGTGTGCAGCAATGCGGCGGGGGCGAGGGGTGCGGCACCGGTGGAACTGGCTCTCGGCCGTCCGGTAGTGCATTTCAGAGGCGTCGTCCCCGAACCCTCGGGAGGGCATCAGCGTGAAGGTGCGCATCTCGGTTCCCGTCAGCGCTTCTCTGTTTTGTGTGTGTGTGTGTGTGTTGTGCGGGAGGGGGGCTTTGGTCGGCTGTGTGTCGTGTGTCGTGCGTGTGTGTCGTGTGTGTCGGGAGAGACAGGCACGCACCTTTCGCCGGGCAGGTACAGCTTGTCCAGCTTCATGCGGACACTGGCCAGCTCCTTGCTGGGTCGGGGGGGGGAAACGAGGAATGTGAGACATCAAAACAAAAAAGGGGCGTAACAGACGCGCGCGCCGGCCATTTACCTATTCATTTCCATGGACTCCTTCTCCTGCATCAACATCTTGATGATCTCCATCTGTGACTTGGCCTCCTCTTCGGCCCTGTTTGGTGTGCGTGCATGCGTCAACATCCATCATACAAACAATTGTAAAAAACCAGTGCAGCCTGCTCGCGGTTTGGTGACTGAGCGAGTACGAACCTTCGGGCCTTGGCCTCCTGTTCGGCGGCGGTGTCGAGCGCCTTTTGCAGTTCCGACGCGATGCCCTCGTCCACCTCCGTCGCAGTCTTGCCCGGGCTCGCTCCTGGGCCTGCCCATCAATCAGGTGTTCATCTGTAAGGCCGAGATCCTTGAGGCGACGTTCAGGTCAGCGTACCGTCGGGAACCCGGAAGGGGCTGGTGGCGGGCGCTGCCGGTTTGACTGGCGTGACCGGGGCGGTGGGCGGGAGGGCCTTGGAGAAGGGGGAGGAGGCGCCCGACGGCGAGGGCGATGATGATGACGACGACGACAGCGGCTGGAGGTGGTCCGCACATGCCGCGGGAGGCGGTTCCGAGAGCAGGAGATCGATCGCCTGCTCCACGTTCTTCTGGCACTTTGCGAGGGCGACGATTATCTCCTTCACCGACTTTTCGGGCAACACCTCCTTCACAGCCCGCACCTGCGCGGGGAGAACGGTGGCGTGGTCAACTCCATCATCATCATCCTCTCATCACCATCATACCAGTCGTCTAGCCGCCATTACCACTTCTAGCACAGAGCGATAGGGAGCCACGTACGCCCTCCTTGTACTGGTCGCTGATGGACGATATGAGGACGGTGTCGGCGTCCTGTCTGTTGCTGTTGGTCTCTGACTCCTCGTCTTCGGTTCGCTGCCGCTTGGCGCCCCTCGCTCCCTCCGCCTCTGCCGCCGCATCCCCACCAGCCGCGGCAGCGTGTGCCGTCCCCACAGGCGCCTGATGCTGTCCGTCCTTGTAGTGTTCGCCTTCCAGCTTACGCTTGTGTGAATTCACATGACCCGCCTAAGAAGTCAACATATCAGCCACACAGCCCCGATGTGCGTGCGTGCGTGCGTGTGCGTGTGAGTGTGCGTGTGCGTGTGCGTGTGCGTGTGCGTGTGTACGTTGGCGGGTGGTGCGGTGCTGGCCTCTCGATCGATGATGCGCAGCGTGTAGCCGTAGAGTCCCGGCAGCAGGGATATCACCACCCCATCCCCGACCTCGACCTTGCCCGTCTCCTTGCTCACCGCCACCCCCTCCTGCTGGCCCTGGGCATGGACATACGACGGGTTCATGCCATGCTAGTACCGCGGAGAGAGGGCGACTGCGGGTCAGACTTGCTTGGTGAGCTGAGCTGAGTGCCGGCGCGTGACGCACCACGTGCACGGAGGCGCGGCCAGAGTGCTCGTCCCACTCGACGGTGAGCTGCTTGCGACTAAGCCGGGGGTCGAGCAACTGCGTGAGCCGACCCCGCCCCAGGTCTGTCTCTCTGATGTAGTACAGTCGCGGTCGTCAGTTTGCACAGCAGCACAACAGAAGTGTGCACCATACGCCACGTACCCATGTTTGAGAGACACCGTGGGCAGGTCCTGCGGCAAATGGACGTGGGCTGTACAATAGAGAGGAGAAAAGAGAAGGGGGGGGGTTAGGAACACGACTTCATTCGACCATGCAGTGCAAGGTACCTTCGGGCGGCTTGGTGGGGAATTTGACGTGCAGGTTCGCCACCGACGTTGGGACGAGCTTCGCCTCATAGCGCGGGGCCTCCATCTTCTTCTCTTCAATTTGGTTTCGTTTTGTTTGTTCTTTTCTTCTGATGTTGGAATATTAATCTTTTTCCTCGAACAGTGAAAACTTTTTGCGGCCACCACAGACAGAACAGAAGAGACAAAGCGAGAAAGAGATGTATTTGTTAGGAGGAAAAGTCGAGCTCTTCGGTGGTGTGGAGGACAAGCTTTTGATACAGTTCGAGTGGGATGAGTCGCACAAAGTGCACTGTGAGGTCGATGATGATGTCGGCGTCGAAGTTGCCGATCAGCTGAGGCACGTTGATGTTCTTGTCCTTCTTGTGCAAGATCTCTTCTCTGACACCGGCAACGACCACGATCAGTGAGTCATGAGCAAACACACAATACGCGCACACGTCGATGAGGTGGCAAAGTGAAAAGCGCGTACCTGGCCTTGATCACCCGGGCGACGGTGAAGAGGATGTTGAGGTGCGCGCCGAATGCGAACATGAAGTCCCACAGCTTCACCACTTCGTCGAGAGACGTGCCCGATTCCAGTGGCACGATGGCGTTGAAAGAGTAGATGTCTGTTGCCAACAGAAAGAATGAGGATGTGGTCACCATCAGACACACTACACCGCGTATAGGTCCTTGGGTGCTTGGGTGACGTACATTGAGTGTAGAGGTAGAGGTGAGTGGTGAAGTGTTTGAGATGGTGATGGAGACCAGGGTCGACAACCTGGAGGCACTGGTCGAGCAGGTAGAGGGCCGCGTCAACTGCCCACGAACGGCTGTGGTTATCCTCGCCCTCTTTTGGTGGTTCCTTCTTCTCCTGCACGGCGCACATGACAAAGAAAGCCTCCGTGTCAATCCCAGCGCTGTGGCGAGTCGGGCCAAAAAAACAGGGTTGGTCCATGTGAGCGTACGCCTTTCTGTGTCTTCTTGTAGTAAAGCGGGCAGTGGTGTGTGATGAACTGGCGCAGCGTGAAGAAGGCATCGATCTCGGGCATCACGTAGAGAAACACGCTGGCCACTATGTTCAGTCCCTGCACATAGCCGATGCCTTCGCTCTCTGCAAAACGCACGTAACATACACAACGACGCCGTTTGCAGGTGCCCAACGCAGGAATCCAACCAAGACCGAGGAGAAGAAGAACAAGGAGCGATGTGTACCACAACTGTGCAGGAGGGCGTTGAGAACGCGTGAGAGCTTGGCGTCGGGCACTCGCTTCGTGAAGGCCGGGTTCTTGCGGAAGCCCGTGCGACCGACGTCCTTGCGGATCTGCTTGTACTCCTCTGAGTCGCGCCCCTTGAAGGCTCCCTTCCCCACCAACGCCGCGTACTGGGCGACGTCGACCGCCGGCACCCGCAGCAAGATCTTCCACACCTGCGCTCGCAGGCTGCAATCTGTCATCGCCGATCCGGGTCCCACGTCTAGGCTCGCTCCTCCAGCCGCCACTGCATCTCTCTCGTCTGGTGGGATACCCTCAACCAAGACCAAACGCCGTAGCAAGTAGAGGTTGCGATCGATTCGGCTTTGGCCCTTGCCCCCGCGTCTGCCCTGCTCTATGAGCTTTTCGTATTTAGCCCGCAATTGATCTACCGATTCAGAGGGGGCGCCCATTCCATCTTCTGAGTCTGAATCGGAAGGGGAGATAGAGTTGGAAGAAGAAGACGAGATGGCTGGGTTGTAGAAGGAGCTGGATTGGGGGGCGGGTGTCGACCAGCGGCCGCTGTCGCCCTTCCTTGCAGGCCCCGGGAGTTTGAGCTTCTTGAAGTCAGAAAGGGAGATTGTTCCCTTCTTTGTTGCATTACTGCCCCCGCTCCCGTCCATTACGATGCTTCCGTGCACCGCGGCCGATTGAATTGAAGTACGCGGTAGTCGTGGCCCAGAAGGAAATAGAAAAAACAAATGAAAAAAAAATAATAAAAATAAAAACAGCTCCGATGGATGACACGCAGGCGGTGTGTCCTCTGTGCAGCCGCACATTTCCTGCTGATGCGATCGAGGCTCACGTGAATGCCGAACTGGAAGGCGGCCCACAACCTGGCCAGCAACGACAAAGGGGCGGTCGAGGAGGTGGCCGAGGAGGCCGAGGTGAAGGGGGACGGGGCGCCAGCAGAGGGCGAGGTGATCGAGGGGGAGGAAGAGGAGGAGGTAGGGGTTACAACAGTCACCAGCAGCGGGGAGGCTTCGATCAAGGGCGGGAATCACACGGTCGGGCAGGTCGGGCATTCGATTCTGCAGCGGCCCCAGCAGCGCGGACTGCTTCAGGGCAGCCCATGCCAATGTACATAGACAGCCACTGCCACATGGACGAGATTTTAGAACGACTGCGCTTCAGGTCCTACGGCGACTACAAGGTATCTCTCCACGCCACTACCCTTCCATCCCTGTGCGTTGTGACTGAAAGGTGCGCCCAACCGCGGCTATCAGGCTCGGGTGGGGCTGCCGGCCAACTACGGCGGCTGCGTGTGCGTCTTCAGCGATCCCGCGGCCTTCTCGCCAACCTTCAGCACCTGGTTCGTGATGACTGGGCTGAGCAGCGTTGCGTGTGAGTGGAGCGTGTGCTGATGCTGGCGTTGGTGGAGTATATAGGGAGGGTCTGCTAGATAATGAGGAAGTGTATGGCATATTCGGCATGCACCCACACAATGCCAAGTACTACAACGCCGCTGCCGAGGAGAAGATTATGGCCTGCCTCCAGCATCCCAAAGCAGGTGAGCGGTTGCCCACCCTGTCGTGCGATGGGGGAGCACCACCACTTACCCGCATTTACAAACCTCCGCAGTGGCGTGGGGGGAGTGCGGACTGGACTACGCGAAGAACAATTCACCGCCAGACGTGCAGCGGCGTGTGTTCGCCCAGCAAATAGTGAAGGCTGTTGAGGTTGGCAAGCCGCTGGTGGTGCACAGCAGAAAGGCGGAAGACGACACCATCGCCCTCCTCAAGGAAAACATGCCCAAGGAGTGGCATGTACATGTACGTTTGTCCGTTCCTCTTCTGTGCCCTCCCCCATCAACTCACGCTCATTGTCTCCTGTCTCTTTCCAAAGATTCACTGCTTCACCGACACGCCGCGGCAGGCCAAAAGGTGAGCCTGTGCCTCCTGGTCCCTCTTTCTCGTTGTCTGATGTTCTTCGCTCACGGCGGCCACCACCACCAACAGGATCATGGAAGAGTTCCCCAACGCCTACTTTGGCTTCACGGGCCTCCTCACCTTTCCAGACACGGAGCGGCTTCGTGAGGCTGTGCGAGTCATCCCACTAGACCGAATCCTCTTGGTACGCGCCCTTCGCGATTCATCACGGGCCGTGGGCCTCTGCCTGATCCATCCAGGGGCGGCATAGGAAACGGACGGACCGTACATGGCGCCCAAGAACGCCGGCGGAGGCAAGAGCAGCGCTTGTCACCCGGGCCTGGTGCCGTTCATTGCGACGCAGATAGCTCAGCTCAAGAACCTGCCGCTCGAGGAGATCTACACTGCCATCAGGTACGTCTCGCCGTTGTCTTCCCGGCATTAATGTGCGCCAGGAAACCAAAGTAGTACCTTGCGTAACAGGGAGAACACGAGGCGCATGTACAACATTTGACCGGCCTCCTCCTCTGGAGCCAGCTCAACTGAACCAACAAGCCGAGCTTGTGGCCGCGCCGCAAGCCGCAAACGTCCACACGGGTGGTCCGTGCTCCCATTGCTGCGTCTTGCCCCAACACGCAGCACGGTTGTGTTGTGAGTGAATCGTGGAGGCAGGAATTACATTTCATCTGCTGTCAAAGCGGCGCCACGTGCGAACTTAATTGTTGTGACCCCACGTTACGTAAGCAGCGCCAATGGTCTCGGCCGCAGGATGCTTGATGACCGGAGTACACGACAGCAAACTGCACCCGTGTCTTGGTTGAGGTGGTGCATTCGGTGAGGCCCAAAGAAACAGGAAGCAGCCACGGCCAGGCTGTCCTCCCTTCTTCATCTTCTTCTTCTGCTTTCGATTCAGCAGAAAAAACGCTCCGAGTCAGCACTTAAAGTGTCAGCACCATCTTCACACCTCGCGCAAGAATGGCCAGCTCGCGCACTCTCCTCCTTCTTCTCCTCTGCCTCATTCTCGCTTTCTTCCCCGCCTTCTCTCGCGCCACTCTCTCCGCGTACTATAGCTTTGACGGTGAGCTACCCCCTCCCCCCCTTGCGTCTTCTCTTTCGCTTTCGCTCCTTACCTCGAGGTTGTCCCGCGACAACTTCTTATATTTTTGACCTTCGGTATTTGGCGTGTGACGGCCTGTCGCGCTCACAAGATCTTTGATTGATGGCTTGTTGATTCGTGCAGGCGGCCAGTTGGGCGGCCTCAGCGGGTATTGCCCCAATGTGGTGCCCCGTACGTCTTCCCCTCCCTTGTCATCCATCAATCTGGCGTTGTTGGTGGCCTAACGATTTAATCTGGGGGCAGTGGGTTCGATGTCGAGCTCCACCACGACCAGCTGCAAGTTTGGCGATTGCCTGCCCAGCGGCGGCACCTTCAGTACGCAGCTCTCTACTCCCTCCCTTCTTCTTCTTCGTCGAGCCCTCCTCGTAGACTGACTTGATTGCACGTGTGTACCGTGTGTCGACAGACGCAAGGACAGTGAAGATATTCCAGGGCATGGACTCGTCGCAGTTGTCCATCAGCCTGTGGACCACCATCTCGAGCACCAACCCCGGCAGCTATTCGCTGGTCAGCAAGTCGGGCATGATCAGCATCGGTTACGATGTCTCCTGCCTTCTCGTAATTTGCACGAGGACGGTACGCAGCTATTCATCTGGTCATGCGCAGCTCTGTCTCACGATGTAATGTGTGTCACCCCCCCCCCCTCAGTTCACTGCCACCTACACGTTCAACGCGCAACGCTCGGTCAAGGTCTCTATCGACAGCCCATTCAGCTCGGGCAACACCTACCACATCGCGGCCATCTACGACTCCTCTGCTTTCTGTGTGTACATCAACGGCGCCGCGAAGGTACGACGCCTTTCCTGGCCCGTTATGGTGGTCGTTGTCGTCGTCGTAAGCGTATGGTTCGTCTCACCATTCGAGTGCGCTCGTTCCGTCACGACAACAGTGCGCGTCCTCCACCGGCGTCTTCACCGAGACCACCTCGACCGACCTCGTGTTCGGCAACTCGTGGCCCGGCACCATCGACGAGATCAAGATTTACGACCACGCTCTGACGTCCGCCGAGCTCGCGGCCCTTCGAAACCCGACCGCCCCCAACGACCAGCCCCAGTTGACGCTCAGTACGAGCCCACGCAGCTGCCTCGTTTCTTCACCATCAACGCCCCTTTGTTCCTGATCGCTCTTCCCCCCCTCTCCCGCGTGATGTTTGCAGACATTGACGGCGAATCGTTTTCCTCGTCGCTGAGCGTTCCGGCGCTCACCAACTTCACCGCCGTCGCCGAGGTGGTGGACGCCAAGAGGGCCTTCTCTGGTGTGACCCCGAGCGACCCCTCCTTGTACAGCTACGACTGGCAGACGCTCAGCACCAAGTGCGGCATCGTCGACACGAGCGATTCGACCGGCCAGTCCACACTCTTCAAACTCCTGAACGTCGGCTCCTTCTCGGTATGCCTGCACGCCACCACTTCAATCAGGTGCGATACATGCGATACAGCGGCGACTCACACCTGGCCGCGGGCTGTGCTGTGGTGCGCTTCTCCAGATTCGGATGTGCGTCTCCGACGGCGAGGTGGCGAGCGAGATCGTCATTTCTGCCTTCGTGACGGCCAGCTTCCCCGTACTGGAAACGGAGGCGCAACCGGAAATCGTGATTCCAGGTAGGGCTTCACCGCCACGCACTTGCGTGGGAGGGAGCGCTTCAAAATAGCATATCACTCCGATTATGACTAACTCGGCGACTCTCTGCGCGGGCACAGAGGGTGCGGTCAACTACCCCATCACCGTCACCGCCTCCGCGATACCGCCGCCTGCGTTTCAATGGCAGAAGCTGGCGACGATCGAAGTCAACACGACCACCAACTCCACGACCAACTCTACCGGCGCGGGAAAGCGTGACGAAGAGTACCATGTACGCCCACAACTCTCTCCCCATTTATCGCTATTTTATTCTCATTATTATTCCTGGCTGATCGGTGCATCGTTGCGTGGGACCGCAGTCGTTCTGGATGGACAAGCGAGAGATCGTCAATGTCACCGAATTTGTGGACATCGACGGGGCCACCACCAACACGCTGCTGATCAACGGGACTGCGGCGGACAACAACACGATAATCCGGTGTATCATCTTCAACGGCGGCGGTTCCGTCGTAAGCAGCAATTTCACCGTCCGCGTCAACGCCGCCCCGGTCGTACCCCCGGACGGCGGTGGAGGAGGCAGCGGAGGGTACGAGCTTCATCGCCCCCCATTTCCATTGTCAATCGTCATTGATTGCCTGCCTGTTCTCACGCGTGTGTTTGCCGGTGATGGCGATGACGATGACGATGATTAGGGACAGTTCGTCTGACTCGACCAACATTACGATCATCGCAGCGGCAGCGGGCGGTGGCGGCGGCCTCGTGGTCCTGTGCTGCCTGATTCTGGTCATGGCCGCGCTCAGCTGGGGCTGGAAGCGGGGCCGCTCGCCCTACCGCAAGCTCAAGCAGCCCGACTACGCCCAGATCGCGTATGGCGATGTCAAGAACGATGTTGTCATCCCCAAACGTCAAGCCGATGTACGTTGGCTTCCGCCCCCCCCTCTTCTCTTTCTTTTCTGTGCACTTTAAAACTGACGCTTTCGTTGCACCAACTTGGCACCACCAGCACTACCTCACCCTGGAGCGACTCATCATTGCTCCCGACCTGCGCCTGGCTCACGCCATTCTCCAGACCGCGAGACACGGCGACTTGGATGTGGTACGCAACAGTTTCCCAGTTCGGTTTTGTTTGCCAATTGATTGCATGCACTCACCCATCGCTCTTGACCTCGCCCGCCAGGCGTGTCGATCCCTGCTGCGCGTGTTGGACGCGCACGGCAAGGGCTTCAACTTCATCGCCGGCTGCATCTCCTGGGAGGTGGCCGAGGCCAGCGACGAGGGCACCCTCTTCCGGTCCAACAGCAACGCCACCAAGCTGTTCTCCTACTACATGAAGATGATCGGCCTCAAGTACCTGGTGCGTGTGTTACATCAGACCCACGCCCTCCTCCTCCTTCCATGACCGTCGTTAGCGCTGACAGCGCCGGTGTTCCTCTGATTCGATGAACAGTGGCACGTCCTCGTGCTCTCGGTCCACTCCCTCAACGACAACGCCATCGAGACGTTCCCCGAGACTGAGTCAGGCACGTTTCCCTCGCCCGCCACGCCACCCGCTCCACCCAAAAGCAAACCGGGGCTCATGAGGTCCTGCCTGCAGAAAAGGGATCGAGTTCGAATCAGCAGTGGTTCAAGCCGCAGGGGTCGAGGGTCGGCAAGTACCGACTCGACACGGACGACGAGGAAGCGGCCTACTCCTCCATCTCGATGGACATTCTCGGCATGTCCAGCATGGAACTGGACCCCGAGGTATGTGTCCGCGTGGCCCATTTTTTTGATTGGGTTCTGGCGTTGCCCCCCCCCCCAAACATGGGTGTCTGATGGTGCGTCGCGGTACCGCGTACAATGCAGAAACTCGACGAGGCGTCGGATGTGACGATCAACACGCTCGAACTGTGGCTGATCGCCCAAAAGATGTTCAAGCTCATCACGGCGAGCCAGAAGAACATTCCGCGTCAGCTTCGCATGATCATGGAGCACGTCCACGACGAGGTATGCTTGCCCCGCAACGATAGTACCAGGCCTTCTCCTGTCGGGGCTAATCGCGTCCGTCACGTGTAGGTGGGGCAGAGGTTCGGCGACACGCCCAAGTTCCGAGCCATCGGCGCGTTCTACTTCCTTCGACTTGTCTGCCCGGCCCTGCTGGCGCCTCAGGCCTATGGCCTGCTCGACGATCCGGCCCACCAGGTGGCGCAGCGACAGCTGATCCTCGTCTCCAAGGTCCTGCAGAACCTGGCCAACGACACCCTGCCGGGCGCCAAAGAGGCCTACATGGAGCAGCTCAACCAGTTCATCATCACCAACAAGCCGATGCTCGAGCTCTTCTACAGCCGCATCGTTGAGGAGGCCAGCAAGGGCAAGCTCGTCGACAGCGACGTACGCCATGTCCCACCACCACTTCGTTGCGGCCGGAATCGGAGCCTCTTGACCTTGGTAGCTGACTTGCGCTTCCCACCAGGTGCCGCTCCGGGTGAAGAACGATGGTCTGATCAAGCTGCACACGATCATCGTCAACAACCTGGCCATGGTGGAGCAGGCGCTGCGGGAGGACGGCGGGGACGAAGACATCATTCACGCCCTCAACTACGTGCTCAAGGAGATGGGCGATCTCGATGGCGAGGGCAAGAACATCGCCGACGAGGACCTTGGCGACCTTGACCTGTGATTACGCCCTTGACCGGAAACGATCGGAAAAACTGGGCACTTCAATTTTTTCTTCGAAACGCAACATATTTATTTTACAACAAGAAATAAAAAAAAATCTTTCTAAGTCAAATTTCACAGGATGCAAGGCCGCCCGACTCGCGATATTACCACACTCCCCCTTCCGCCCACCCTCAAAAACAAGATCGTGCAGGCCGGCTTTCGAGATGTGCGAGATTTTGATGGCTACCGGCCAGTCGAGCTGGCCAAAGGTGGGTGAAGATTTTTCTTTTACAATCCTATCATTAGCCCCTTCTCATGCGATCTATGCCAGAGCTGCGAGTAACACAGGAAGAGGCTTTGAGCATTCTACGAACAATCAAGGAGAACACGAGCGCTACCACCGCCGCCCCTGCTGGCTCCCTTTTCGCTGGTGCGGCGTCTTCTCCACAACTCTGCGCTGCTCTTGACTCTTGATGCTAACGCGTGGGTCGTTGCAAAGAGGGCAAAACGGCGTTCGAGATGATCACACAAACGGAGAACCGGTTCGTCCGTACGATGTGCGAGGACATCGATCAGATGCTCGGCGCGGGTGTGCCGGTGGGACAACTGACCGAATTCTGTATGTCGCTCATCTTCTCGTCCTACACGTGTAGCTGCATCCGCAACTCACTTCAATGGCGTCCACAACAGGTGGAGTCCCTGGGATCGGGAAGACACAGATAGGGTGCGCTCAGCTTTGCAAAAGTTCCTCTTATGTGGCCACGTAGCGTTCTGACGTCGCCTGTGAATGTAGAATGCAGCTGGCTACGTCAGTGCAGATCCCAAAGGAGTTCGGCGGTTCAGGAGGGCACTGTATATACATCGGTACTCGCCCTCTGATCGTGTACCTTTGGTTTTGTCTCTCGGCCAGGCTCTAACCTGCACGCCCCGCAGATACTGAAGGCAGCTTCGTCGTCGAGCGGGTGATGGAAATGGCGCAGGCGATCATAGACTTCATGCAGCAGCAGGCTCAGGCACAAAAGCACCCTTGTCCTACACCAAGATCCCTCTCTCTGACTCCTCGTACCTTGAACACAGGCGAGTAATGACCCCGGGAAGGTGCAAGCTGCAGCGGCCTTGACTGTGGAGGACATGTTGCGCCACATTCACTACTACAGGATACACGACTACGTAGAGCAGATCGCGCTTCTTAACACCTTGCCGGCGTTCCTCAAAGAGCATCCCGAGGTGCGCTGCTTGCTCCTTGGAATTAGAAGGACCGAACTCAAGCTGATGTGTCCTGCACCCGACCGCAGGTCCAACTCGTGGTGATTGACAGCATCACGTTCCACTTTCGCCACGACTTCGACGACTACATGGCTCGCACGCGTGTTCTTACCAGCATGGCCCAAACGCTCATGTCTCTGGCTGACGAGTTCCGTCTGGCGGTACCTCCCCTCATCTCCGCCCCTTTTGCCCCTAACCCACACAGCGCTTGTTCATACTCAACAACGTTTGCGCGTCTTCATGTAAATGCGTCTGTGACAGGTGGTGCTGATCAATCAGGTCACGACCAAAGTCACGGAGCGAACACAGGGTAGCGCGATGTTGGGCGATCGAGACAGCAACAACCAGCTCATCCCCGCCCTGGGCGAGAGCTGGGGCCACGCCTGCACCAACCGCGTCATCCTGTACTGGCGCGACGGGCAGCGGTATGCCCACCTCCACAAGTGCCCCTCGCAGGAGAGCAAGACGGTGCCCTTCGTCGTCCTCTCCGACGGCATTCGCAACCTCCCCCAGCTTTGAGCAAAGAATTAAACTGTTTTAAATGCCTAATAAATAAATTAATTATAATTAGTTTTTCGTACGGGAGAGGATCGGATGCGAAGGGGTTGGATGAGAGCGTGGGGAGAGGGCAAGGTGGCAGCGTGCGTGCTGCTGCCCATACTCTGGATGATAGTGTTGCCGGCCATTAGATCGGCATCCAACCCAGATGAAGATTCATTCTTCTATGAAGGAGATCCTGCCCAGTATGCCAACTTCGACACGAGCAATCTGACTCCTCTGCAGATGAGGTACTTCTCTTCCCTTCCTCATTCGGAGATTTGAATCTCTACCAAATGCTTGCTGATGATTCCGTGCTAGAGAGGTGGTGCGAGAGATGTTCCACCACGCCTACACAGGCTACATGGAGCACGCCTTTCCCAAAGGTGCCACTTTGTTCTCCCTCACTTCTCTCTGTCTCTTTCTGTCTTCCCACTACGCGCACCACTCAATGCTCTACTGGTGGCAGACCAGCTGGCACCACAGAGTTGCAGGGCGTACCGCCGGAAGACGGCAGACTTCCACATGGGCAACTACGCGCTCACGCTCGTCGAGTCCCTGTCTACGCTCGCGGTGATGGGCGAGGCTGCCAAGTTCCAGCAGGCGGTTGACTGGCTCTCGGCCAATCTCGAGTGGCGAAGCGTGGAGGTGTCTGTCTTTGAAGCCAACATCCGAGTTCTTGGAGGTCCTCGCAAGCTTCTTCTTCTTCTTGCTGTATGCGCTCTATGTTGAGATCTTCTGCGATTGGTGCTGTGGCCAGGCCTGCTCTCTGCACACATGCTCGCCTCGGACCCCACGTTGGGTCTCTACCCCGGCTATGACGGCGACCTGCTTCGACTAGCGACGGAGCTGGGCGAAATCCTCCTCACCGCGTTTAACGCAAAGGAGATACCGGCAACCAGGGTACTCCTACGCACGTGTTTCCGGTCTGCTAGCACGTTATTCGTGTTCTGACTCGAGTGGGCGCAGATCAATCTTCACAGCCGGAAGACCTCCGGCAGCTCGTTGGTCAATCTGGCGGCGGGGACCACCTTCTTACTCGAGTTTGGCGTCCTCTCACGACTAACGGGCGATTCTCGCTTTGAGGTACGTTCCGTAAGCGAGATTTGCCGCTTGAACAGAGCCTCCCCCATTCTGAGCGAACCAACTTCTCTTCCACTTGCTCAGGTTGCTGCGGAGAGGGCGGTGGACTTCTTCTGGGGCAAGCGCTCGCCCTTGAATCTGGTCGGCAGCCTGATGAAATGGAGCACCGGGGAATGGGTGCGCGACCCGAACGTCACCAGCGCTGGCGTGGGCAGCGGAAGCGATTCGTTCTACGAGTATCTGCTCAAGTACTACATCCTGTCGGGCGACTCCAAGTACTGGGACATGTGGAACGAGGTACATACATACATACATACATACATACCGGCACCTCACCCGGTTGATAACATTCTGTCGTGGGTTTGAATTGTTTGACACAATCACTTGGTGCAACGCAGGCGTACCAGTCCATCTTGCGCTACATCAAGAACGACCACTGGTACATCGACGTTGACATGGACACTGGTCGGCCTTCCCGAAACTGGGTGGACACATTCCAGGCCTTCTTCCCCAGCCTTATGGTACGACCTTACACTAGTACGCAGCTCAGTAGCTCATACGCCTGGCGAAAAGGCTCACCCTCTTATCGCTCAGGTGCTCGCTGGTGATGTTGAGAATGCCACGCATATGTTTGCAGCCTACCACAGCATGTGGCAGCATTATGGTTTCATTCCCGAGGTGTACAAGCATCGCACCCAGGAGCTTCACCAGGGCAACTACCCGCTCCGACCAGAGCTTCCCGAAAGCACATGGTTCGAACACCTCCTCTCGCTTCTCGAGAACTGCACCAAGACTCACACTGTATCGTGTGCAGGTATCTCTACTATGCGACCAGAGACGACTACTATCTGCAGGTGGGCAAGGAGATTGTGGAGAGCCTGCAGCGACATTGCCGCGCGAGGTGCGGCTTTGCTGCGATAGCGCACGTCACCAATCGACGCACCGAGGACCAAATGGACAGCTTCTTCATCAGCGAGACGCTGAAGGTATGCCCGCTCGCCCGCCTACCTCGCCGAGCGCCTTCGCCTAACTTCGTTGGTGCTTGCTGCACCCCATGCATGTCCAGTACCTTTATCTGCTGTTCGACGAGGACAACTTCGCCAACAAGGGCAACTACATCTTCAACACCGAGGGACACTTCTTTCCCGTGACCCCTGCGGTGCAGAAGGCCGAAGAGGAGCGGAGGGGGGAGGGTATGAGCACCGTGCGGCGGTGCGCGCCGATGGAGGACCACGCCCGCCGAAAGAACTTCTTCCACCACCTGCACAGCGAGCCTTTCAACCTCTTCGACATCCGGCCGAAGACCTACTCGCGCTCTGATTGACCACTGTCAAGATCAGAACCAAGCGCGGAGTGGGTGTTACCGGCAGGCCAATCACGCGTGGCCAGTAACCATTCTAGCTTCCCGCCACAAATGTGTAGAACACACATCAAAGACCTGAAAAGTAACTTCTGACGCCCCTCGCATCACATGATCACGCCAGCCGTACAATCGTAGAACATCTCATCTCAATCTTCTTGTTTTATTATTTTTATCTTTCCGGCCCCAATCTTGTCTTCCATCTCGTTCATCGCCAACCAGCCATGGTCCTACATAAGCTGCTGCAGCTCCCATTTCGAATATGCTACGATTTGCCAAAGGGAAGGGGCACCACCAAGAAGAAGTCGTGGTGGCAGCGAACGCGCTTCTACTCCCACTTCGTCCACAAACGACCGTGGTATATCGCCACCTTGCTGCCCCTCCTTCTCGTTTGGGCCGTGTGGTTCCCCTGTATCGGTGGGCTCAACCAATGGCACCTCTACACTGACCGCTACTTCCTCGTTGTCGCCATGCTCTTCGGTACCGCGCCATACTGTTCTCTCTGCTCTCACTTCATGTGTGATCATGACATGTTGTTCACACAATGTGTCAATGTGGGTGGTGCCCATGCGCCGCAGCCAGCCTCGTGGCGGGCTTCCTGTCGCAGGGAACGGGAGGACTGTCGTTTCCCGTGATGACCCTCCTCTTCGCCATCGCACCGCTGGTGGCACGCGACTTTGCGCTCCTCACACAGGCGGTGGTCCTGTCCGGTGCGAGCTTTGCCATCATCTACCAGAACATCCCTCTCGAAACCAACGCAATCCTCTTCTCCTCCGTCGGTGGCGCCTTCGGTGCGAATCGCCGTCTCAACACGCGTTTGTGGCCGCATTTGCATGCTTGACTGACGTGCCAGTCTGCAGGCCTTGTGTTTGCGTTGCAGTGGATCGCTCCGTTGGTGCACGACACAGAAGCCATCATGAACTTTGTGAGGTGCGCTCTTCTCTTGTGCGTTCGTCTTTCCTCGCGTGACGACTATTCTGAATGGCGTATGTTGCGTGATGCAGCCTATGGATCGGGTTTGGGGCGGCGGTGTTCTGGCTGCGGCGCGAGTGCGATAAGGAGACGCACCTGGAGATACCCAACTGCAGCAACTGGAAGGCGTTCGTCCTCATGGTCACGGGCTTCTGCGGGGGCATGCTTACGGCCATGTTCGGCACGGGGCTCGACCTCAGCGTTTTCAGCTGTCTGGCGCTGTTCTTCCGCATTCACGTCAACACCGCCGCACCCACCGGAGGTAAGCCCTGTGTGTGCGCGTGTTGTGTGAGGAGTGTCTAACCGTCACGTTCACCATCAGTGGTCATACAGATGATCAACTCGTTGGTGGCAGTCGCGTTCAAGCTGCTTTTCATGGGCGGCTTCCAACAGGCGGCAGTGCTGGACTGGGTTGCCTCCCTGCCGTTCGTCTCGCTGGGCGCGCCCCTGGGCACGGTCTGCCTCTCCTTTGTCAATCGCACCTGGGTCAGCGGGGTCATCTACCTCGTAGCCCTGGCCCAGTTTGTCTACGCGATCTCGACGTTGACGATCAACACCGACATCATCTTCTTCGTCGTGGTCATCATTGTGACGACGACGGGCCTCTTCCTGCTGCTGGCCAAGCTCGGCGAGAAGCTGGTCGATGTCGAGAACAAGGGCTACATCTTCGACAGCGACGACGAGGACGAAAACGACGACGTCTACGGGGCCACTCCCATGAGCAGCTACGAATCGCTCCCGTCCATGGAAGAGCTGCGCGCCGGCAAGAAGAAGATGGAGCGACGAGAGATCAGCAGCGACGGTGTCGACTACTACGATGACGACGAGGAAGAGCTCCTGCAGGACGCCGATCGCGACATCGGCCGGCTCGAATCGAGCGGGTGGAGTCCCTACGGCCGCAAGTCCTCCCTCTACCCCAGCACCAAGAACTCCAACGCCGCCGCCGCCGCCGCCGCCGCAGCAGCTGAGAGCGCACACCTGCTGGGGCCAACTGGCACAGGCAACTCACCGCAGCCCTACTTGTGAAATCTCAGCACCACCACCGCACACCACGCCAGGCGCACGGATTGTGCCGCCAAGGAAACAAAGAGAACAAAGAAAAAGACAGAGAAAAAAGAAAAACTCCGGAAGCGCATCGGAAGCAGAAGAAGATCGACGTTTCGTCGATCCACTGCCGCGGCTGGTCACAGTTCGCATTCGAATCTGTGAGAAGGGAGCCACTTGGCAAAGGAGAACTTAGTCGATTCGAAGTTACGGGACAAGGCTGCTAGGCAGAAGGGTGCCGGCAATGGACGTGCCCAGCGAAACCAACGACCAGAACAACATGGATGACGCTGCTGCCAACGCTGTAGAGGCAGGTGATAGGGAAAATCTCGAGGGGGCGATTGGCTCATCGGCAGAAAACAACCAGGTGCGAGAGGATGGGCAAGAGGAAGAGAACGAAGAAGAAGAAGGCGAAGAAGATGCGGCCGACGAGGTAAAAGAGGAGGACGAGGAAAGCGAACAAAGTGAAGAAGAGGAGGAGGAGGAAGAGGAAGGTGGGGCAAGCGATGAGGAAAACGATTATGAAGCGCAGCGGCAGCGCAACATCGAACGCAATCAGGCCATGCTGCGCCAGCTGGGTCTCCTCGTCGACCCCTCGGCCATGGCCGTACCCTTCGGCACCTCTCCCTCCACCTCGACTGCAACCACCGCCTCCTCCACATCTTCATCTTCATCAGCCCTGCTGCCCTTGTCCGACGCCGCCCCCGTGGCCGCCGGGTTCTCCCTGCAGACCCCCAAGCGCAAGTACAAGCCCCGCCAAAAGCGGAACGTCGACACCCCCACCCGCACCTCGTCTCGCCTCCAGACCAAGGTATCGACCAGCCACCCGCTTTGCTCGGTGTGGCATAGTCGCTGGGGCACCTCGAGCTGAGAGTGCTCTCTCGCTCTCGCACCGAATCTCATGTGTGTGTGTGTCGTGCACAGTCGAGGCGGTCGTATGCCGAGAACTCGTTCTTCAAGACCCTCCCACCAGAAGAACAGGCTCAGGTACAATTCAAGGCCTTCTCACACGCTTATGACGCACACCACACACACGCACACACGCACACACGCACACACGACACACACACGGAGGGCTCACGGCCCCATGGGTACACAGATACTGGCTGCGGAGAAGAAGGCGAGGAAGAAGGCGCGACGGGAGCGGGAGAAGGAGGACGCGGAGGAAGCCGAGGGCGAGGAGACCGAGGAGCAGAGGAACGCGCGCAACTCCAACAAGTGGATCGGGTCCCGCCTCTACGACTCCGACCGTGGCATCACCTGCCACCAGTGCAGGTGTGTGCCTGCATTCCATTACTCATCTCAAGCTTGCATTCCTCTTGCTCGGGCGCATGTCGGGCACCCTGACACTCTGTGCGTGTGCGTATGCGTGTGCGTGTGCGTGTGCGGTGTGTGCGGTTCACTGCCGGCAAAAGACGGTGGACGAGAAGACGACGTGCGCCAATGAGTTTCGGATTCACACGCCGGCGCGCCATCACTACTGTCGGCGGTGCCTGTGGAATCGCTACGGCGAGGCCCTCGACGAGGTGCGCAAGGACCCCGTCTGGCTCTGCCCTTCGTGCCGGGGCGTATGCAACTGCTCCTTCTGCCGGTATATCCCGCCACCCGCCACCACCCACCCACCAGCTCTGGTGTTGCTCGCGTGTGTTTCTCACACCGGTCGGGCGGGCGGCGATGTACACCCCAGGAAGAAGCGCGGGCAGGCGCCTACGGGAGTGTTGGACACGGCCATTCTCCAGAAGTACTCGTCGGTGGCCGAGTACCTGCAAAAGGATCGCCAGGTGCGCGTCTTTTTTTCCCGTCTCATGCACGCACGCGCGGCGCTGTTGGAATCATACGCTCACCACTGAACTCTTGCGTCGATGACCTGATTAGGAGAAGCCTGCGGTCTCGGAGGAGGAGCTGAAGAAGATGAAGGAGAACATCGAAAAGGAGATCAAGGAGGGCATCCGACCTTCGGCGCCCATCACCACTTCCGCCTCCGCGCAGGTACCCAGCAGCCCGTCCGCACTCTCTCCCTGTATTCTCTGGCTTACGTGTGTGTGTGTGTGTGTTATGTCGTGTGTTGTGTGTGTCGCACAAGCAGGCGGAGGAAATCAGTGCAGATCTGAAGGGTGACCTGTACTACGTGGAGGCCATTGTTGAGCACCGGTCGACACCGAGGGGACTCGAGTATCTCATCAAGTGGCTGGGCTATGGCTACGAACTCAACACGTGGGAGCCCGCCGCCCACCTCAACTGCCCTCACCTCATCAAGGTGCTGCGCATCTCTCCCCCGCCCTCCTCCTCTTCTTTCGCTCTTGGCATAGCCCGGTGCTGACGTGTGTGTCGCCACTCCCGACCGTTGTGTTGAACAGGAGTACCACATCCGCAACAAGCTGCCGCTTCATGCCAAGCGTGGGCGGAAGAAGAAGATCGTGGACGATCCCCCCGCCAACGCGGACAAGGAGGAGAAGGAGAAAGGGAAGGAAGAGGACGAAGGTGAGGAGGAAGAAGAGGAGGAGGAGAAGGTAGCGGAATGGCAGACGCGCCGACCTGGCAGGCCCAAGGGCCGTGGGCGAGGGCGGCCCAGGCTGGTGGTGGGTACTGGCAGAGGACCCCGCCGCTCGGACGGCGCCGGCGATGACGAGGACGGCAGCGGCGCGGCTGATGCCACGACGACGACGACGACAGCCGAGCAGCGCGCGAATGCCAAGAAGAAGCGGAAGGCCAAGGAGGTGCTGCCCACCCAGGCAACCAAGAAGACGAAGACGACCAAGACATCGGCAAAGAACGAAGACGACGAGGAGAACGAAGACGAGAAGAAGACGAAGACGAAGGGGAAGAAGAAGGCGAATACGAAGGTGGCGAAGGCTTCGAAAGCGAAGGGCGGCAAGGCGGCCGCGACCAAGAAGGGCCCCAAGGGCACCAAGAAGGAGGCAGAAGAGGCGAAACAGGATGTTCGGAAGAGCCCGAGGCAAAAGCAGGAAGCCCAGCCCGAGGCCTCGAAGGCAGCAGTCGGCCGCAAGTCGCCGCGGCTGGCCAAGCGGGTTCGCGGAGGTCGAGCCGACGAGGAGGCAGAGCCGGTGATGGCGAAGGCCGCCGCCAAGCCGACCGGCGGAAGGAAAAGAAAGAAGGCGGAGAGCGACGGAGAGGAGAAGGAGGAGAAGGAAGAAGAGAAGGCGGGAATGGAGGAGGACGAGCGACCGAAGACGCTCTACTGGGACGAGCCGGTGGAGAAGGGCAAGAGGCGGCGGAGCGCGCCCATACTCCTGTCGGACAACTTCATCATCCTGGGCAACGGCGAGGTGCGCGGAGAAGCGCAGCGGGCGAACGCCAGGAAGTCAACATCAACGACATCGACAACAGGAAAGTCCAATGCGAAGGCTGCAACAGAGAAAGAGAAGAAGAAGGAGAAAGGCAAGGAGAAGAAGAAGACGCGGAAGGCGAGTACCACGAAGGAGAAGAAGGGCGAAGCCACCAAACAGAAGAAGACGAAGAAGAACGAAACGAAGAAGCAGGGCAAGGCAAAAGAAGAGAAGAAGAGGAAAGCAAAAAGCGATGAGGGCGAGAAGGTGCGGCCCGAAGGCGAGGAGAAGGACAAGGACGAAGAGGAGCCGGAGCGACCGCTGTACTGGGACACGGCGGTGCCGCGCAAGAGGCAGCGCAACCCCAACATGGCCTACTTCACCGACTTCCTGCTACACAGCGGCCCGCCTAGCGCTAAGAAGAAGCGCAAGTCTTCGCCACCCTCTCCAGCCAAGTGACCAAATGTTTCCACACAAATAGCTCAGTTCAGACTGGTCTCACTGGCTAGCACTGGAGTTGACTAGCGGTTGGTGGCAAGATGGCGACAGCTGCACCAGACCCATCTGTGCCCCAAAAGAAATGCCAGGGCCGCACGAGCTTGCTCAGGTCAAAGGGTCTGGCTCGCTGCATGTCCCAATCGGACAGTTTAAGTCCTGAGACAATCGTGCAAAGCATGGTTTCGGAAAGTTGGCTGCTGAGCGGTACCAAAGTGTTGTCCACAAAGAAGAAGGCGGTGTCATTCTCCACCACCACTGCCACTTCTTGACCTTCTTTGAAGCCTGTGGTGAAGGCAACTTCAGCATGGCCTGCTTGCTCCCCGTGGCAAGAATTGCTTGGGAACTGATGAGAAGTGTACCAATGTCACGAGCACCTGGCGCATGTGCTAGCACATGTGCAATGTCACGAGCACCCTGCATTCGTGGAGCTCACTAGGCCCTAACCCCCTCATTGCTCACGAAGTGCGCCCACAAACCCAGGACTGGAGTGCTGGCGCTTCGCGAGCGACACGACTCTCCATGTCGGCTTGTCTGCGCCGAAGGCTGCATTGCTGGTGTGCGAGACCGACAGCGACCAAGAAAAAGTGCAGTGTCAGGCAGGCCACAAGATATTGGTGCTCGACAAGCAAAAGCGGAGGGCCAAGCTGGTGATGCCCAGGAACAGTTGGAATGCCACCATAGTGCTGGTGGATCGTCCCATCACAGGGGTTCGTTCTTGTACCCGCGAGTTAGTATGGCTTTTACTGGCACCTCAGCCTCTATCAGGTTTCAAGTGATCCGAAGAACAGGCTTCTGGATGGTCGGCGTACATGGACGTGGGACCTCGCCTGTCCCCAAAGGGGCCCACCCCTAGAAGCACGTCGCGCACCGGCAGACGACCAACCACATCCCACACCAGCTCCCTCGGCAGCCCTTCCATCTTCGCTCTTTCTGTATTTTCTGTATTTTTTTTTATTATTTTCAATTTTAAAAAGGAAAAAGTAGTCGTGGCTCAGAAGCAGCGGAAGATGCGACGGAAGAAGCCGGGCTTGCGCTGGCGTTCACCCTCGGAGCCGCCGGCGCTGCCACCTGCGCGGCCGCTAGACAGGTCGTCCAGCTCGTCGGCGCTGTTGTCCGAGCCCGGGTCGACCCAGTCCTCCGGCGGCTTGTTCGACGTCGGATTGCCGTCCTTCACCACTACTCTCCGCGCGCCGGTGAAGAGGTAGTCCATGTCGACGACCCAGCGTCCCTTTGGCGTGTGGCCCTCGGCGTCGGGCACCACCACGGGACCCAGCCCGAAGAAGCTGCGGCGGGGCGCCTTGGCAGATGCCGCTGCGGCTCCGGCACCACCCGCGGCGGCAGCAACGGAAGCGTCAGCACCGCGGCTGGCCTCAGCGTCGTAGCTGTCCAGATGGTCGCGGTTGCGGCGCCCTGGGCGTGGCCACACAATTACACGACTTAGAGACTGTACGGGAGGGCGCATTGCGTAGGGGTGTGGGTCGGTGCGTACTGCGGATGATGGCGGCCAGGAGGAGGAGCAGCGCGAGGGCGGTGAGGGCGAGGCAGGTGCCGATCAGCGGCAGGCCGATCACGAGGAACCAGAACAGGGCTCCGCGGTCGTCGCCGTCGTTGAACTGAACGATGTTGGTCTGCGTCACGGCCTGGGCTCCCGTAGCGGCGGCGGTGTAGACGATCGCCACCTTGTACTCGACGGGGTAGATGCCGTCAATGTCGTTGGCCAGCACTGTGCCGTTGGTGCGCGCAAACTCGGCGAAGGGGGCCGACTCGTCGCTGGTGTTGCGGCGGTACCACACGTACTCGACGGGCAGGACCACCCCGCTGTAGCTCACGTTGAGCCGGGCCACGCCGTCGTGCTCGCTGCCGCTCAGCGTGGCCTCGTAGGCCGAGTCCGCGGTGAGGCCGATCTGGTACGGGTTGTACTCGAGCGCGGAGAACTTGGCCGCGTCGTCGGCGGCCGTCAGGGCCAGGTTGGCGCCCGAGTTGGAGATCACGGTGCGGTTGCTCGAGCTCGTGGCCCGCTTGTTGGAGAGGCGCGCGGAGGCGCCCTCGAAGCGGATGCTCACGCCCACGGTGAAGAACTCGCCCGGGGCCAGCGTGGCGCCGGTGCGGATGACCACGCGCGTGCCGCCCGAGACGACGGTCGAGTCGGGCGTGGTCGTGGCGTCGTATTCGAGGCCATCCGTCAGCAGCGACGTCTTCTTGGGCAGCAGCAGCACGATGTCGGTGTCGAACGCCGTGTCGCTGCCGCTGTTGGTCGCCGTCACGTCCACCTTGGCGACACCGCTGTTGGACTGGTAGAGCTGCTGGTTGTAGATCACGATGCCCTCGGGCGTGACGATGCTGCCGGAGTAGGAGATGTCGATCCAGGGACCCGAGGCCCGCACGTACAGTGTGTTGGTCGCCTTCGCTTGTTTCTGGAACGCGCGGGGGCGGAAGGGTCAGTGAACTGGACAACTCGCTACACGCACGCACACACACACACACACACACGCACGCACACGCACACGCACACACACGCACACACACACACGCACACACAACGCACCTGCTTGCCAACGTTGTCCAGGAAGGTGGCGGTGGCGCCGTAGGAGGCGGCGTTCCATCCGTAGGGCAGCTGGGGCGCCACGGTACGCACGAGGAGGTACAGCTGCGCCAGGTCGGGACCGGCTGTGCGGGGGAACGGGAACTTGGCGCCGAACACGCTCAGCCGGTACGTCACCTGCGCAGGAGCGAACGAATCGGTCAGCGCTCCCCGCCCCCACGTCTGTGTGCCTGGTGGGAGCGAGTGCGCCACAGTGTCGTACCACGGTCTGGGAACCGGCAGTAGAGACGGTGAAGGGCACGGCGGTGCGGCCCTGGGTCTTGAGGCCCTGCCAGAACGAGTCGATGGCCGCCTCGCGATTGTCCTGCTCCGAGGCCACGAGGGCCAGCTGGTTGACGTCCGATTCATTGACCGAGTACACTCCTTGCACCTGCGGTTGGCCGTGCACCGTCAGTGTCAGTGTCAGTGTCCGTGTTGGAACGCCAAGCCGCGATCGAGGGTGCAGGGAATAGAATAGAATAGAATGGAGAACCTTGAAGTCGGAGTTGATGGTGTGAGTGAACTTGAGGTTGTGGGCGAATCCGCTGGTCCATAACACCTCGTCGGGCCACTGCGACGCCGCGTCCAGCGGAACGCCGAACATGATCTGCGGGATCGATAGCTGGTAGTCGTGGATGCCCTGTGGCACGAAAGGTGTTGAGTCCTGTACCAAACTGGGCGACAAAGGCGAGGGAGACGACAGGGGTAGGTTAGGGTAGGTACAGGGGTCGGTGGGGCCGGGCAGTCGGTCGAAGAACTGCGGCTTGAGGGTCACGTTGAGGGCGATGAGCTTGCCCCTCAGGCTGTCGGGGATGTTCGCGGCCACGGTGAGCTGGTAGTAGTAGTCGCCCTTAAACCCGTCACGGATGGTGGCCACGTTGATGGACTGGAAGTCAAACTGCATCAAACCACAAGACAACAGCGTTTAGTAACTGTGTTGTGTGTGTGTGTGTGTGTGTGTGCGTGTGCGTGTGCGTGTGTGTGTGTGTGGAGCGAACCTGAAGCGGCGCGGTGTCGATGTTGTGGTTGGACGGCTTGATGCTGATGTAGGGCTTGTACTCGGCCGGGATCTGAGAGATGCAGCAAAACGGTGAGCGTGAGTTTATCGTCACACCCACCCCATGATGGCGCAGAGAGGGTTGCTTCAGTACGTACCGTCACGTCCATGAAGTTGAACGAGATGGGGGCCTGGATGGCGTGCTTGTAGCGGTACATCAGATCGTTGGCGCTGATCGGGGCCGAGCCCTCGTACACGAAGTCGATGGCGCTGGCCAGGAGGTTCCAATTGAACCCGGCGTTGTTGGCGAAGGTCACCTTCACGTAGGTCGTGACGCCGGGGCTCACGATGGCCTCCGTGCCCTTGTAGCCGCCCACGTAGACCGACACCTGCGCGTCGCCGAAGCCGTGGCTGTTGTAGTAGATCGACGACGTCCAGGTCCGCTCGATCTCGTCCGGGTCCGACAGGTCGAGCAGCTGGACAAGCGTGGCGTTGAAGGTCGGGAGCGACGTGGGGAAGATGGCGTTGGTGACCTCGAGGTCGGTGCGCGTGGCGAGCACGGTCGAGACCGGGTTGTCGACGTCGGCGAAGGCGTTGGGGCCGAGCGAGGGGTTCCAGTAGGTGAAGCGGCCGCCGTCGACGACTGGGGTGATGCCCTCGCGGTGGACGCCGTCCATGGGCTGCAGGGCGTAGAGCACGTTGAGATCCTCCTTGGCGCCGCCGCGGAGGTTGGCCGCGAAGTAAAGCCAGTCGCGCGCCGTGTCGGTCGGGAGGTAGTTGTTGAACTGCGAGATGTTGGCCGGCGAGTAGCCGGGCGACTGGCAGTCGTAGCTGGAGAGGCGCGGGTCGCTGGCCGACAGCGTCGGGTCGACCGGTACGATGTTGTTGCGGACGACGTTGGCCAGATAGGCGTGGCGTGAGTTCTTCGGGTCGATCTACGGTGGTGTGTGTGAGAGAGACAGAGAAAGAGAGAGAGAGAGAGAGAAAGAGAGCAGTTAGGGACTGGGATGACAGTCACAGAAAATGCTATTGCGTACCTGGACGCGCTGGGGGTTGAATTCGCAGACGTAGATGTTGGATTTGACCTGATCTCCCAGACCGGCCGGACTGGTGATCTGGTCCAGACCGATCCACGCCGGGATCTGCTCCGCCGCGCCGACTGAGACAGCCAGCGACTTGGCCTGACCGGCCACCAGCGTGTCGTCCTTGTTCTGCAGCTGGTCGCTCCACCAGCCCCTGCCCCACCCCATGCGTGCGGTGAGTCATTCACTCGGGTTGCGACCCTATGGGACAGGTGACTGAGTTGAAGGCGTACATCTTGCCGGGGAAGTTGGCGTGGGTCTGATTGCTGGAGTACGAGACCTCGTAGCCCACACCCTGTGC